CAGTGTCTCCAAGCCTTCTTTTGATAGATTCATCATCTTAGCATAATAATATTCCGGCTTAGACAGATTTCGCTCACGTGGAATTGATTGATCCGATCGATAAGATGTCCGATTTACAGAATGCGATAGATATGGATATTGACGACGGCTGCGACGACGACGCTGACGTCGACGACGGCTATAAGCACTCAGTTGTTGATGATGATGATGTGATTTTGATGCATACCGAAGGAAGTAGACACCAAATGATCGTCGAAAGATAAGCCTACACTTTGCCGAAATCTGTGTCATCAGTTTACACCATAGATGTTGTCCAAGCATGTTTATCTCTGGGATGTATTTATACCAGAGAATTAGAAATATGTTATATGATATAGTCCGTATCACTAGAGCTAACCCATCGATGAATAATAATCCTGTCGGGATATCATCCAGGTAATAACGTAGGATATTATATTCAACATCCATCGAGTATACATAATAGATTAGCGTGTAATAGACACAATATACCAGTGAAGAGATAATTAACGCCAATGTGTAAATATAGAGAATCTTCAGGTTGTTGTTACTATCGCCTATGGTATTGTTGAATACCTCTTGAAGGGTGGTGTACAATCCCTGACTAGAGGAAATATCATGTCGCATAGATTGTACAATAAGACAATGGATTTTCAGTTTCAACAATAATTTCTGTGAGAGAAATATCAAACAGACGATAGGCAGTACACCTTCACAAAACACAATTCGATGTAGTTTATACCAAGCGGAGTAGTCCTCGGATATACTCAACCATATCGGTTGTATAATACACTGACATTGAACAACCACATCACTTCTCCTTGTCACTGTCGAATTATTATTAGTATCAGTTTTAGTATTCTCGTGATTGTCACATTTCAACTGACTGATAAAATAACTTGGTAATGTCTGGAGAATCGACAGGAGAATGCTTAAACTAAGCATTAACCAAAATATTGATTTAGAGGGTGTACTATGCATTAGAGTGAATTCACGACTCCATCGACGAAGTCGCCGATTATACACTAAGAGTTCACGACTAATAATTAAAATAGTTGAATTAAACTGGATGTAGGTGATGAAACGAAACGTCGAATTCATCAGTTTACACATCAAATCGGATGAAATGGTCAGTGGTTTCGAATGGATTAGATAAGATAACCATTGGAATAGGGTGATGAGGATATAGGCGATATGATTGAGTAGGATAAATATACCCCAGTTGTGTAGATAATAATTCGTCGGTTTCACTTTCAATTTGAGCAGAACAATCAATGGGATACCAGTTAGAATGTTGAGTATAGATGTATACGGGATTATACAATTGATAATTATGTAATAATATTCCCTGAAGACATTCTGTATACAACTAAGCTCTTTTGTATACACAGAGGGATATAATACATTGATAGGATACAGATCACGAGTATAAACTGGATATCGACAATTATTTGGCATAATTGGAAAATGAATATATATATATATACTACTAATGCGAAAGGAATAGTAGTCTATGACTATAATGTGGAATTCAACTGATTTTGTTATACACTCAGTATATAAAGGTGTGCGAGTGAGTGAGTGAGTGAGTGAGTGAGTATATGAATCGATCGATTCACGTGATATTGATTGATATACATATTTAAATTCACTCATTTCTTTTATCGACTCTTTGATGATCATATTTAGTGTTAATATTGTTATTATTGCATTCGGTTTTCTGCTAACGTTTTCATCACCTGGCCTCCACGTCTGCTCACATGCTGTCATCTCCACTTTGCATGACCTCCTCCTCTTCCATGTCACCTCATCATCGCACTAACGACCAACCAACTCGCTGTCTCCTATTCGTGTTCCACTTGAGCGATGTTCTGGCGTGTGATGTCATTCACTTGATAGTTTGTTTTCCCAAATCAGAGTCAATCCTCGCTTTATTTCTTCCTACATATTGATTGCATAGTCGGTTCGTTCGCTGCGATCCCTAATGGTGGTGATCTTCTTCTCCTGCTGGCCATCTAACCTTTAGTAGTATTGAGTGAAGGTGGCAGCTGTTGATGAAGGTGTGTAGTTTGTTTCGAAGTGTCCTGAGTGACGCGGTACGGTGCGGAGTAACGTGGCGTGGCGCCAAGTCTTTGATCCGTATAGTAAGTAGTACTGACTTCACATTGGAGTTGAAAATCCAGATGTTATTTTCATTTTCATGCTGAGTGGTACTGTTGATCTCTTCCGAACAGACTTGAGAGTAATGAAAGCTTGTCTTGCTTTCCCGATGATCCTCGCTGGTTTGAAATCCCCATCATTTCTTTTCCGCCTGTAGTTGAAACTACTCTTCATAGGAAGGTAGGTAGGTAGGTAATGGACGGCGATTCTTCCAGATTTCTCCCATTTATGCTGATTGTTGTCTGTTGTTGCTGTTAGCCAGGAATCTCCATCACCTCTTTTTTCCCATATTCAGTAGAGCATAGTTAATTCGTCAGAGCATTTCAAATGCAAGAACTACAGTTTTAGCAGAATAAAATGGTACCATCTTTTATTTCGTTGCCTTCTCGTCAGCTGCTTACATGGCAAAGACATTATTAAATATATCTACAACAACAATTTTAACATACTTGCACAGAGTTCAGTTTAAACAAAAATCAATCGATCAATATACGCATACACTAAAAATATATACATATATAAATATGCAATATTAACCACTATTCCGAACAATAATAATCAAACACAATGGAAACTTTTAGCATTTCACATTCGGAGGAAAGAGAGGTGAAATTATCCAGTTACCAGGGCAAAGAAAGGCTGATAACCGCTTCTTTCTGGACGCATAAATCAGGTTTCAGGCGCTTGATGGAAATGGCTTTAGCAAACTTAAGGAGAATTGAGCTATTTTGCTTATTGATAATTTTCAACGACTTTTCAACGCCCACCTCATGACCCGTGTCGAGAAGATGCCTGGTGATGGCACTGTTTAAAGCATTTGTTCCCTTTAGACGTAAGCTTTTTGGTACATGTTCAGAAAATCGTAGATATGCCCTTCTTTCTGTCCTTCCAATGTAACTGCTCCCGCAGATACATGTAAATTTGTATACACAGTTGGAGGTAACATGAGAAGGATATCTATCGATTTTCGATTGCACCAAAGAGTAAGTTGTTCGATAGACGGGAACGAGCTTAGCTGCAGGATACGCTATGGCTAGTGATGTACTCAGCCTTCTGTTGATCATCGCTGCAATATTTTCACCTTTGTAATCAAGCTGAAGGTAGACTGGCTTTTTTTCCACTGTGATTTGTTTTACTCTTTTGACTTCAGATCTTCCATACTTGTTGATGAACCTTTGAGGATACCCATTTCTCTTCAATATATTTTCAAGTAACTCAAACTCCTCTTCTAGTTTCTCTGTAGAGCATATTCTCCTCGCTCTATAGTATATATATTTTTAGTGTATGAGTATATTGATCGATTGATTTTTGTTTAAACTGAACTCTGTGTGGGCAAGTATGTTAAAATTGTTGTTGTAGATATATTTAATAATGTCTTTGCCATGTAAGCAGCTGACGAGAAGGCAACAAAATAAAAGATGGTACCATTTTATTCTGCTAAAACTGTAGTTCTTGCATTGTTCAAATTCATTAAGGGGAATAAATGTATGGCATTTCAAATGGTTAGTTGAAACGATTATAGCGTTAATTGCTTGAAAGCAGTCTGGGGGAAGCTCTAGACATCTAGGGTTTGTTTAAAAATTCGCTGAAATCGAAGAATATCTTCTTTCCAACGAAATCATCAACTAGATAGCTGTATATTCGTGAAGTGATATTCAGTGTATGAGAGAGTTCCAGAATTATTTCCGGTCAAAGGTTAAATTAATAAAGTTACTAAGTGTAATGAAGACATAATGTGTTCATAATTACTGAAAAGATTAACTGTTTAATTGGACACCAGTCAGTAAGTAGTGTGATGCGTCTAGTCCTTTCTTTGGTGCAGACTGAATTCTATCAGTCAGGTTTTGCAATGTAGCCACCATTCCACTAGATAGCTCGCCATCATGGTAGACATTGATTTGATGATATTTGATGATGGTTGGAGGCAATCGGCCACAGTCTTGGACACGCCTGAGTTTCGTGCTAGTTGTCATTGACTGGTCAGGGCAAAACGTGAAAGAATTGATGTCCTTCCTGATGTCCTAATCTATGATGAAAGATTTATCCAGCACCTCCTGCCTTTGAGAGTTTCTTTAACTTCTATTGGTTAGTGATCCAATTCGCCTTGAGATTAATCGAATCTTCACAAACTCAAAACACATCAAAGATATTTAGATGTTTTTCTTCCAGTCCTTTTGCGCATTCCGAGTAGAGCACTGGACTTTAAGATCGAGAGCTGAAGCTTCAGTAGTCGTAGTGTTAGTTTTGATATGTATCCACATGATGTGTGTTTTGTTTTTGACTTTCTGTTATATTTTGCTATGTGTATATGGATCGATATTCCATTATAACTGACAATATGCTTTTGTCTATCCACTAACTAAATAAACAATGTATGACATTGTTATCACATGACATTACAACCAATCATGTTAAGACTGTCTATTTATTGGTTCATGTGTATTAGTCATTTTCATATATACTTTTGTACTGTATACTTGTTCACTCTTGTTCCCACATTTCGTACACTCGTACCATTTCACTCACACTCTTGTGTGACATTTATTTTCCTTGTCTGGAAAATACAAGTATCATCGTAAACCTGGTGGTCTTCTGATTTCTCTCTTTCCGCGTCAGGACTATTAACTACTCGAGTTTGTTAGTTTCATGTCCGACTTTTCTTCATCATCGGCTTTACTGTCAAATGAATGTTTGCTAGTGCATCTGGGGCGGGGGAAATCAAACTACTAAGCGCAACCCTTAACACTTTACTTCTTTTCAAATCCATGTAATTTATCATTTCGTCGGATTTATTATTTCATAAATATCTTCTTTCTTTATAGGATTTATTCCTTGACGATGAAGAACAAGTCACTGAAGTAGAAGAAATTATTGAAATACCTCTAGAAGATCGAATCCCTACACCAGGTGGTTTGTTAATACGTCTTAGTCTTTTCTTGCTGTTATAATGCTTGTTCTGCATAATCGTAATAATAATAATTATTATTATGCATCCCGCATATTCCAAGTAGAACTCAAGTCTTCAGCAATACCTCTAAATTTAATTTCCTCGTCTGATGTCTTCGTTAGCTGCTTCTAAGTTTGTCCGCCAGCTCTTATATCCTCTCCAAATGATATATTCTTTATCATCCTCAGACGTACGCCGAATTCTTGACTTGCCATTTGAGTTCCACTTGAAGGCCTGCCGTGTGTCTCCTGCAGTCAGTCCACTACACCGTTTCCATCACTGTCTGGCTGGAGAGTTTCCCTGAGCCGAGTCGGTACTGCTGAAAGTGCTCTGTTTCCAAACTTCCTATGACACCAGCAAATATTTCAAGTATTAGACGATGTGGTCCGCTGACTTGAGACTGGCCATCGACGTTGCCTTGATTCGGACGACGATCTACCACCTCGTGCACGTAAGCTTGAAATTTCAATTTTTAGCTTTTCCGTCTTATTTGCTAATGTCAAAATCGCTGATAATATAGGTGTGTCCCCAGCAGACGCCCAGTGAACTGATAACCCATGACTTGTTGATATGTTGTAGATACTGGAGCCAGGCATTATGTCTAGAATTTTGTCTGCAAACTCATTTAATGCATCTAGGTCAAAACCTGTTGGATGTGCCGTGGTAGCCAGTGCAACCACATCTGCCGTAAAACCACTTCATCAACCTTTTATGGATTAGGCAGTCGAAGCATTTACCTGAGAAGCTAAGATGGCTTCCATGAGCTTAACTCACATGCATTGAGTAACTGCTGGATCCGTTTCTCATCAGAAACACTCCTTTTTTGGATCAAAACTGCTTTGAGTGGATCATATTGGTGGTCTGCAGAGTGCTGTTGATTAAATCACTAATGTCTTCAAGAACCTCTGTGGGCAGTGCCAGCAAGACACATACATACTTTGCAATCTGTGACTTAATACCTCGGGACAGCAAAAAGCGGTTCAATGATGGCGAACCAAATTCGAAGCTCAGTGAAACCAAATGGAGGTAGAGGCAAGTCGACTATTGCGTGGATTGCTGAAAATAGTGCATCGTCAGTTTCTAGTGTAGCAAGTGAAAACATGGGTATTATGTGAATATACAGGTACATAGGTATAAAAAATAAATAGAATATGCATTCAAAAATAAAAATGATAACAATATAAATATAGAGTTTATAAAGGTAAAATGTTTAGTTGGTCTCATCAATTAATTTTTAAGGGACTGTCTAGCGTGCTCAATAACATAGCAAGTATGAGAATTGATATGTATCCACATGATGTGTGTTTCGTTTTTGACTTTCCGTTATATTTTGCTATGTGTATTTGGATCGATATTTCATTATAACTGACAATATGCTTTTGTCTGTCCACTAACTAAATAAACATATATGACCTTGTTGTCACATGACATTACAACCAATCATGATAAAACTGTCTATTTATTGGTTCATGTGTATTAGTCATTTCCATATATACTTTTGTATTGTATACTTGTCGGTACATGTTCCCACGTCTCGTACACTACGTACCATTTCACTCACACTCTTGTGTGACATTTATTTTCCTTGTCTGGAAAATACAAGTATCATTGTAAACCTGGTGGTCTTCTGATTTCCCTCTTTCCGCGTCAGGACTATTAACTACTCGACCAGTACATAACAAGAATAAAGATACAAGTTAATGAGATGATAGTGTAACAGTATATTATAAAAAATACAGTAATGAGTCATATTAATTAAACGGTTACTTGGATATACAGTTAAAGTCCAAGGCTACAAATTATTAATATAATCCACAAAAGCGTTCACTGCTAGAGTCGTGTCTACAGGTAGAAGCTGTGTTCCGGTTGTAGAACTGCCTTCGGGTGAGAATAAGACGTTCCTGCAATAAATCTACAACGCGGTTATGAGTGGAGCAGGTAGACAGTATAGACTAGTGGGAAGACGAAACTGCCACACCACTACACTCTATTTCAGATTGTACTTGGAAGTTCTCTATATTCCAACATGAATCGTGTGAAACAAAATTCACGTAAAATGTTTCTAATTTCAGCGTCTAACAAAAGAGTATACAATCATATTGTTAAGTACTCCACACGTGTGTGATTTCACTCCAAAGTCTCCTCAGAGTTCGTCCAATCCATTATTTAATGATTATCGATTTTGTCCAGCCGATGATCTTCGAATGGAAACCAACAACCTCTCTGAAGAAGCAGACAAGAGAGGACTTCAAGCGATGAACATGGAGAAGGTGGAGGTGATGAAGACATCCATACTCTAACGACAGCCAGCACCCATGAATATCAACGGAAAAAAAATTAAAAGAGGTTACTTCGCTCACTCATCTGGGAAGGATCGTTTCAACTACAGGCCGGCGGAACAGATGAATACGTAACAGGCAGTGAGAATCGGAAAGGCAAGGTACACCTTCACCAGTATAAAGTCAGTTTAAAAATCTTCTGCTGTCACTCAGCATAAAGAACAAGATATGAATTTTCAACATACTTCTTCTCTACAGGTCAAAAACTTGCGGTGTACGTGTCACGAAAAGGATTTCCAACAGCTTGCTGCAGACTTTTATTAACAGTTGCCTTCGTTCTATATTGGAAATCTTATTGCCGATGAAAAGACTTAGCGAGGAAAGAGGCATAAAATGGACTCACACAAAGACAAACTTGGAGGATCTGGACTTCGCCAATGATATATGTCCGATTTCCCACAAACTGGAAGATATGCAAGTGAAAAGCAACAAGTTGACGATAGAAGAAGCATCTAGAGGAGATAGGACTTCAGGTGAACATAGAGAAAACAGAGGTGATGAAGATTCCTGGCCAACACCAACAGACACAGCAACAACAACAACAGACAACAATCACCCAGCATGAATGGGAGAAATCTGAAAGAAGCAACCTCCTTTACCACCTATCTACCTGGGTAATATCGTTTCAATTACAGGCGGCGGAACTGATGAGGATATCAAAATGACGATAGGGAAAGCAAGGCAAGCCTTTATTAGTCTCAAGTCTGTGTGGAGGTCAACACTCCTCATGAAAAATGAAAAATAAGGTCCAGATTTTCAACTTCAATGTGAAGTCAGTGCCAATATACAGATCAGAGACTAGAAGTGCGCATCATAAAGAGCACCTCACACAAATTACAGACCTTCACTAACAGCTGTCTTTGCTCAATACTCAAGATCAGAAGGTCATAAAAGATCAGCAATAAGAATCTCTGGGAGCAAACCAACCAGAAACCGATTGTGCAAATGTGCAGATAGAAATGGAGATGGATTGGCCATTCTCTGAGGAAAACATCGAGTGACATTACTAGAAAAGCCCTAGAGTCGAACCCGAGTGGAAAGCGTTTGGTTGGTCGTGAGTGAGAGAATGACATAGAAGAGGTTATGTGGAGAGGAGATAAAAGCATGTGGGCAGACTTGGAGGCAGATGAAAACTCTAGCAGAGGACCGAATGCAATGTAGACGCGCGGCTGAAGCACTATGTTCCTCTAGGAATTAAAGGAAATAATAATAATATACTCATAATCATATCAAAGTACTCAAACAACTTTCTAACTTCCTTTATATAATTCCATCGTTATCTCCATTCATCTCTTGACTTGATTGGTAGTAGTATTTTCCATATTTCCGGTATGAGTGAGTGATAAGTCTTTGCATCCTGTAGCATATGTTGGGTGAAGAGTCGATGAACCAGGATTCAGTAATCAACCCCCCTCTCTCTCTCTTTCTCTCCAATAAACATACCTACCTGCATTACTTACTTCCTAGAATTTTAGGCCTCCCCTTCCCACCCTATTGTGTAGTTGTGCGTTCTTGTTGCATGCAGTGCAATATAGTGCTGAGCTTTTTTCTAAATTACTTATCTTCACGAGTTGGGTCAACCATTCGAACTTTACCCACTAAAATCTTACGTTATCACAGACAATCTGACTACCCTGCCCGACATACTATGCAGATTGACCGATGTAGTTAGTTCACACAACTCATCCGAGTCACTGCAAAGTATTTTGTAAATTATATTATTTTGTTTAATTGAGTCAACCGACAGGGTCCTTTAACCTACAGAGGTGAGTCTGTCCTACTTGAGTGAGTTTGTAGGTGTTTGATTGCCACCAGCCTAATTCCTGCTTTATTAAGAATCCTACGTGTGGAAGATCTGAGATTTCCCCTCCTTCCCTATATGCTAGAACCACTGTAAGTGTCCCAGTGGCTCGCTTATCTTTGTGCGTCGGTGGCACAGTGGTTAGGACTCTCGCCGACCATGCACATGGTACGAGGTTCGAGCCCTCGCCGACGCACAACTGATATCTATGGTCGGCCTGCAAAATTCGGGCTACCGATATCCATGCTGAAAATTCCATACTTGTACCAAAAATACAGTGCGGAATCAAGCTGTAGATTAAAAATAAATAAATAAATATTCTCTCTTATTTATGTTATTATTATTATTAGTTACAGGATTTCATCATGAGCTGACATTAGTTAGAGAACCATCGGGAAACCAGTCAAGGAGTACTGGACAGCTGTTTCGTCCTTATAACCAGAAGGTCCTGGGTTTGAGTTCCGGTAGGTGCGTACTGATGAAGAGTCCCAAATAGAACGAAACAGCTGTCAAGTACTCCCAAGTTTTCCAATGTTCTTTAACTAATGTCAGCTCATGATGAAATCCAGTAACCAATCAACCAAATCCCTACAAACCGACAAAAAATCTTGCATTATTATCATTAGTTTGACCACTATTTTTATTCTACTTTAAACTTTTGTCATCTCCTTAATGAATTTTATAAGACAGTTATCTGATACCAACGCTTCTTCTATGTGTTTTATTTCATCGTTTAGGTATTTTCTTGTACTACTTAGTGCTATGGCTCGGTATGTTAGACACTTAACTAAGCCTGCCTTAACAGTTAACAGATGAGACAAATTAAATTCTAAATATCTACTAGCAGAAGGCTTTGGTCTTTACAACCAAAAGCCGATTTTTCAACAAATAATACGTCGCGGAGGCCGTCTAATGACATATCAGACCAGGTGATCGCTATAATGGAACCCAAATGATAAGCAGCTAGTAGGGCGTGTGTTCGAGTATGACATGGAGGAGACCGTGTCAGGAGGAGTTGAGAGATCATGGGCAATCACGGGGCTAGCTGAAGAGGATGTATGTCCCACTTGGAACCCAATGGAACAATAATAATAATAATCTAGTGAAGAAGGCAGCTGATGATGAAAGTAAGCAGCCTCTTGGAAATACTCTCCCTGACACACACACACACACACCAACACACCAATTCTCTGAACGATGTAGAAAAGTCACTGACGTTACTCTGGTGTGTTGAAAATTCAAATGTCATTCCACATAGTAATTGCTGTGGACCTCTACGTTGTTTTCTGAGTAATGAACATCTGCCTTGCTTTTCCCATCCTAGCTGACTGTGATATTCTCATATGTGACGCCTGTAGTTGAAAGGAGGTTGCCCTGGTCCGACAAGTGGAAGAGACAACTTCCTTCAGGTTTTTCGCGTAAACGGTAACTAGTGCTTCTTATAATTAGTTAAGTATCTTCAACACCTCTCTGTGTTCAGTTGAATTTCTGTCTTCACCGCCTGTCCTGTGGAACTGTTGGTTTTCGCTTAATCAGACTTGGACTTAGTTAGATATGAAACATAAATTATGTGTTCCATCTAGATGATCTAAAGGTCTTCGTGTCAGTGCACTGCGTGCTATTTCATTCGGCGGCCTACTGAATGTATGCCCGATCCATCTATCTCCACCTTCTCGTACATATTTGTTGAGCGATCGGCTCTTGCCTGTTGGTTTTTCCCACTGCAGAGTTTCTGCTTACTTATTCTTTCTCGCTGGCCATTTGATCTTCAGTATAAAGCCAGCCAGCCAGCCAGCGAGGGTACTGCTGTTGATGAAAGTCTGCAGCAAGCTGTTGGAAATCTTCTTTCTGACACGCTGACCGAGTTTCTAACCCATTTAGTAGAACCGACTTCACATTGGTGTTGAAAGTCTGAATTTTGCTCCTTATGTTGAGTGACAGCGGAAGATTTCCAAATCGGTTTTAGGTTGATAAAGCCTCGCGTTTCTAGACTTTCTGACTCTGACATCATTTCGCCTTAAGATTTAGACTACTAAATATTGCTAAGGCTGTTGGAATCCACATCAAGAAGCCTAATTTGTGCGTCCAAAAGAAGCTAATTCAGACATTATTCTTACTTTACCCATCTAGGTTTGAATGATCAGGAAATTTTTGTAGAAATTTTCTTAATTTTAGTTGATATTTTATTTGCTGAAGTTTTATTCGGTCTCCTTGGTTTCGGTGGTTCTTTTCGTATGTCTTGCTGTCTGGAATTTCAGCACTCGCTAATGTTCAACCATTTCTCTTTGTTTACATTTCTGATCGTATCTACATGGCCCCGTCTCGCAGTGACATGTGCGGTCCTTCCCACTTTGAAAGCAATTTAGTTGACCCTGGCGTGCATTCTTCGATGTTTCGCCTAATAGTTTCATATGCTGCTTTCGCCCGACCTACCAGCAGCGTTCCAAGTAATAGCCTCATCGTTGAGAGATCTCGGAGGCCATTCAACCGCGCAACAGCCTAGAAATCCTGCCAGAAGATCCATATATTTCCATTAAAAACTGCTGGACATAGGCTTTCCATTTGTCGGTAAGCCTCGACACCAGATGTAACGACAGAAGACGAGGGGCAGTCGAGAGATATTTATAGACTTTTATGTACATTATTTTTAGCGTTATTGTTAGCAGAAAAGCAACGTCTTCTAATTGGTTGTTTTCTTGCCCAAGGTTATTCTGTACTGCTTGTGAGCGTTTCTTAGAAAGTTAAGCCATATATCTGCAAATCCCATTTGCACACGTTAAGTCTACTGTGATTGGTTGTTGAGTTCCTCAAGGTTAATCTTTGTTAGTGCTTTTTCTCATGACCCCGATTCGGGCAGTAAACATTGACGTAAATTATTGTCTACAATTTTGGCTTGCAGCCAGCTCTCACCACAAAACTACTTGATAGCCATTACAAAATAAATGTTTCACCATATAGACAGATTCAAACTTCATGCCGTGAAATTGTATTTCATCAAAATGTCTAATATTTCATATTCTTATTTCTACTTTTCTATCATTATCATTATTATTATTATTTCTAGAGCCTGATGAATGGATGACAGTCAGCATGGAAGAGGATGCTGTTGATTTAGGCAATTATCATGTAGTCGGGGGTGTAATCCGTTTCGATCTTGTCACATTACCACGACAACCAAAATCTGGAAGAGGATGGACTATAACCACATGTGTAAAACCACCAAAACTTCGTCCATTCGAATATGTAGTTGACGAATTTCCTAAGGCTTTTGAATCAATAGCCTTAGAATTAAGTAAGCGAAGAGAAGTTTTATGCGATTTGATGTTTTAGTTTTAAGAAATATATTTCTAGGAATTTGATTGATTCCAAGTTTTATCATGGAGGATTGATATGAGCTAGAGAATGAAATTGACAGAAGTTAGATTTTATAGGCCTCTAGATTTCATCTGAATAGTTGTAACCTGAAAATCCTGGGTTCACTCCGCGGTGAGGTTATGTGTGTGGGTACTACTGAAGAGTCTCTAAGTAAGACGAAACAGAGCTCAGTCCAGTACTCCATGGTTTTCAGTGATTTTGCCACTGATATCAACTCATGATCAAATTTGAGAAAACAGTGCATTACTTACAATCGATCCAACTTTCTCTACTCAATAACTGAAGATATTAGAGCTTGTGGCTCAGTAAGCTATAGCATAATGCTTTGTCCAATGATAGGTCAGTCGACAGTATGAACAACTGCAGATTAGTGCAGTGATCTCCAAGTAAGTCGTTCGACTCCATCCCAATACAAATGGTGACTTGTCTCACATGAGACAGTGTTATTCGTCAGGATACAGTGACTCAAGGCATCAATAACCACATCATCAACGAGCTATCCACATTTGCGAAATGCGGGACTCTGGGCGACCACTTTCAGTGTGTCTTTGGTTCAGTGGTGGAGTGATCATTAGCCACACACGATTTCTAGGCGACGCACTCTTAAATCTCGCCTTGCCGAGTAGTTACCCAGCAGAACAGCTGGGGGCTAGCAACCCCAATCCGTAAAAACTTAAAGCTTTGTGTTCTAGTCATAATTCAAAGAAATTAAAGTTTGTTTTGTGATGACTCGACAAAAGATAGTAATATCGCCCTCTGTCACACTGATGTCACGTTTCAGGTCATTGATTCATGCTTCCCATGATGACTGTGACTAACCTTATCCCATTGAAACCAAATCAAGCATTAAATACCTTGGACTAGTTTTTTCCTCTGACCTTTCATGGTCATCCCATATCTTATCTATCTCTAAGAAAATGTTTCGTCTTACATTCTATATTAAAAAGTTAAGACAATCAGGTATTAACCAACCCTTAGTTTTGCAATTTTTAAACTCCTGTATTTTACCTATTGTACTCTACTGCTCTCCATTAATCTTTCCTGGGCTTCTCAAAAAAGATTATATCACATTACGAAGAGTATTAAATGCTGTGAGTAGAGCTTGTGGTCTGCCACTGCATGAGCTCGCTAATACTATAGTCGAGAGGCATATAAATTCCTGTACAAAATGGGCAAAGGCTATACTGTCAGACCCTCTGCACCCGCTTTATTCACACCTGTCCCCTTGTATCTCATCAGGTAGGACGAGAAGTCAATATAAAAAGTTATATTCTCGTACCACTAAGTACAGAAATTCTACAATACCTTATTTAGCCCGTACTTTATGTGACGAAGACTCTGTTAGACGTGAAACTTACAAGTTACTATGTAATTAGCACAGTGAATCGACCCTTTTATCGCTCATCTTTCTGTATTTTATGGTGTCACACTTTCTATCGTTTAAATCGTTACTCTGCTATTTTATTTTAGTTGGTATTACTATTATTACTACAATTTTGTACTTTATGCATATTTTCTCCGTATGGCATACAGTATTTTGCTATGTAGCTGCTATAACAATCGTTTTATTACTGTTGTGTAATGTGTATTTTTAATTTTTTTGTTGTTGTCGTTTTTGAGTAAACTAGATGCAATATATTGTACTGAATGCTGAAAATTCCTTGCTGTATCATTAGTACTGTTTTTGAAATAAAGCAAATTATTATCATTATTATTCTTAAAGAGCTCAAATAAACCTCTAAATTCCTGACATTATGTAAACATTATAAAAAAAGGTTTTTTGTATTTCCCAGTGAATTAATGAAAAACAAGACGATAATGTTGTGTTTACTGACTTTTCGCTATTTCATGTTGCTAATAGCTTTATCATAGTATTATTAAACTAGCAGAATTAAAAAAAATCTCAGCTTAGATATAACAACTTAATCATCGTTCCCCAGCATAGGCGCTCTCTCTGATAACGGATGAGACAGAAAAAGAAATAACAAACATTACTGAGACCGTCAAGTAAAACCCAAGGAACTTCATCAACAAAATCAACACTGACATTAAATATGGGCGAAAACGTATTCCGGCAACATGGACCTCAGCAGTTGTCATTTCATATACAGTGGAGACGTCAGACGATATCACAAGAGTACTTAATAGTTACAACATCAGAGTTTTCTTCAAAACATCAGACACACACATTACAGAGCAATCTTGTCCATCTAAAAGACGAAATCCTTAAAGATTCTCTCTCTATTTGTGTCTATAAAATAAAATGCTTGCTTTGAATGTGCTGCGATTTACATTGGACAAGCATCATCAGAGCGAAATCAAGTTGAGAAGAAATGAACACAGTAGAACCGCTTCTATTCGACCATCGAGAAATCCAGTTGGAATAAAAAAGCTTGAAAAATCATCAGCCAAGGCTACACGCCATAGAATCAGGCGACAAAATTGATTTTGACAATATTGAAATCATCATCATATAGAAAAAGCATTTCAGAGATCACAAAGAACGTCTAATATCCATCAGAAGCACTTCATATCATCAGATGGAATCCAAACTGTCTGAGTTGAATAGGAATGATGGACTAAAATAGAATTTGACCTGGTTACAACACCTCCCTCCCCTCCCCCATGAAGTGACAAAATCAACACGAATGGGATAAACAGTTTCATTATGTAAACATGCGCTGTTTTAATAATTTTACACACTTATCAAATCCAACAGTCATCTACACCTGGTTTTGTTATCTTTACCGATTGGCCAATTTGACCACGCAAAAATGAGCCCATGCCGAGGAACGATAATTAAGTTGTATATATATATATATATATATATATATAATGGAGAATATAAACTGTGTATCTCCCAAAATCCAGTTCACTTCGGAAGCAGAATCAGACATCGGTGAACTTCCATTTCTAGACTGCCTAGTTAAGAGAAAGGAAAACGGACATTTTAGTATATCCATATTCAGGAAGAAAACCCACTCCAATAAATATTTAGACTTCAAATCATCACACCCCATCAGCGCAAAGATTTCAGTTGTTTCAAGTCTTCTTAGACGAGCACACTCCCTGATAACGGATGAGCAAGAAAAAGAAGAAGAAATATCAAACATCACTGAAACTCTCAAGCAAAACAACTACCCAACGAACTTCATCAACAAAATCAACACAGACATTAAGTATGGCCGAAAATGCATTCCGAAAACATGGACTTCAACAGTCGTCATTCCATATAGAGCAGAGACGTCAGACGATATCAGAAGAGTACTTAATCAGCTCGACATTAGAGTTTTCTTCAAAACATCGGACACACTTCAAAACAACCTTGTCCATATAAAAGACCAAATCCCTAAAGATTCTCTATCTAATTGTGTCTATAAAATAAAATGCTCGGAATGTGATGCGATCTACATCGGACAAACATCTCGAGAAATCAAAATCAGAAGAAATGAACACCGTAGAGCTTCTCTTCGACCACCAAGAAATCCAGTTGAACTAGAAAAACTTCAAAAATCATCAGCCATAGGTCTACATGCTATAGAATCAGGCCACAAAATTGATTTTGACAATATTGAAATAATCCAGAAAAACTTCAGAAACCACAAAGAACGTCTAATATCAGAAGCACTTCATATCAAGTGGAATCCAAATTGCCTGAATAGGAATGATGGACTAAGACAGAATCTAACCTGGCTACAACACCCTCCCCCATGAAGTAGCAAAATCAACGCAAATGTGGTGAGCAAGTTCACTATGTAAACGCACACTACTTTCATAATTCTACACACTGACAAAATCCAACAATCTACACTTGATTTTACTATCTTTACCAGTTCGCTAACTTGACAAAAAAAAACGACCCAGACTGACGAATGATGATCAAGTATTTCACAGCCTACACTTAGTTTAGTTACCTTTACCTATTCCCCAACTTGACAACCAAAAATGACCCCAGACTAACGAACGATGATCAAGTTAGTAAACTTTATTTTGATATAATAACAGATATACTATTACCTTTGATATTTGGTTTGAACGATCTTCATTGTTATTTTGACTTTCAATATGTCCTTTTAAGTTGAACTAAGTCTATATTTTTCTCACCCCCTAATTCTTTGTTATATATATGCTGAGATTTTGTAAATTCCGGTTTAATAATACTTTGAGAAAGCTATTAGCATTAAATAGCGAAATGTCAGTAAAAACAATCTCGTTTTGTCTTTTCATTCATTTGGGAAATACAAAAAAACTTTATTATAATGAATATCATATACCCAATGCCCAAATTTTATTAAAGTATTAAAAGTGAACTTGGTTTGAACATATATGTAACCATTGGATGCAGTCCACCGTGACAACCATTCACAACTCCATGCCTGTTCTTTTTTATTTTTCAAAGATTAATCACGGATAATTCAAATTATTCATAGTTACTCGTTTCTGGAAAATCTCAAGTTTGAAGGCATATTAATTTCAAATCAAAACTGTTACACATGGGGTGACTTTTACGACCCATAATTTAAATCTCTTTCCATCTGGACTGCTGAATGCTGGTTGAAGACTGAGTGGGAACACAATTTTTCAATGGTTGATGCAAGTACATCCATTTGATGAACCCCAAATTGGGTGAAAAGCGCGCCCTACGATTTGGCTGCTAATCCCCTTACCAAAACAAATAACTTTGAGTTGTTAATCCTGGTATTAGTATCAAAGTATTTGTTCAAAGAGCTGAAATGTCGAAATGAGACTGTTGTACTTGCTGTAGATGCGTCGACAGAAAATAAAAGATACAAATCAGATGAAATTATTCTTAAATTCATTGATGAAATCAAAATAGAAAATGATCAGGTTATGTACACACATGTAACGGCAGAGGACAAGAGACTTGATATTTTATATCTCTATGTGGCGAAATTATGTACACCAACTTCTATGAAAATTGTGATTTAGATAAGACGGAAAAGATTTGTGGCTCAGATGGATGATTTTGATGTAGTTGCGTTCTCTGAGCTGGCTGCACGGCTTATTTGAGAAGCTTTCATCACCCTACTGGGCAACATCTTCAGCGCATACTTCAATTTGTTGAAGTGAGCTTCTAGATTTCTCCACGAGTTTATTAGTCATCTCTCCAGGTGACCTTGGACGTGATTGGTTGTTTTTGTGTGTTTTCACACCTAAGTTACTTGTATTGGAACTGATTGTTTCTTTGACTTGAACTTTGACCCCAAGTGTGTGAGGTTTCTTTCTTATCGGTCGGTAAATTTTGTCTATCTCTATGTGTCTATTGATTGATGATTCACTGGAATGCCAAGCTTCTAAAAATTCTCTAGCATTCTTATTATTTCCTCTGTCTAATATTTGAACGCTGGTTGTCCCAGTCGAATTGATATCCATGGTTGTCTGTATGCAGTGAGTTATATGAGCGAGGAAGTGGATATCGTGTCTTTTGACGGCTAGATTATGATCATGGATACGAAGGCGAAGAGGAGGATAGTCCACTTTGGCTAATGTAGTGTTTTTTGCAGTTGTTGCAATTTATTTTGTAGATGATGTTGGTTTTATCTTCTTTCACTGCTGAGTCTTGTAGTTGACACAGGGCTTGCTGAGTGAAGTGACTTTGTTGGTTTGTGTACGACATCAATTCCTGAAGGTTTGAAGAGCCATTCAGTGTTTTATGAGATGTCCTTTATATATGGTAGGGCGATTTTCTTTGTGCTTTGTTTGGGGGCCTTTGGTATGGTGTGTTGGCTTTGTGGGTATATGTCTTTTGATGAAATTCCGTGGATATCCATTCTTTTGGAAGACGTCCATGAGATACTTTTCTTCAATTTTTCTTAAGGTGGGAGTGCTGCAGTGAGTCCTTGCTCTCTTGAATAGTGTTTGTATGCAATTCCTTTTGTGTGTTATTGGGTTGTTGCTGTTGTAATTCAGTATTTGGTCTGTGTGAGTTGATTTCCTATAAACTTGAGTTTCTAATTCTCCTGTAGTTGTTCGCCTGACTAAGACGTCCAAAAATGGTATTTTGTTCTCGGATTCCTCTTCTCTTGTGAATTTGATGTCGTTGAAGACGTTGTTTATTAAGTTGTGAGTTTTATCTAATTCGTTTCTTTTGATGATTACAAATGTGTCGTCGACGTAGCGTATCCAAATCTTGGGCTTGATCTTTGGTAGAATTATGTTTTCGAGCCTTTGCATCGCTGTTTCTGCAATCAAACCTGATATTAGTGATCCCATGGGTGTTCCTTTGACTTGTTCATATATTTGGCCGTTGAATTGGAAGTATGTTGTTAGGCATAGGTGTTTATGCATTCCATCCAGCTTGTGTGTTGCATTTTTGATTGTTGCGGAAGTTGTTCGTTGTTGCTAAGTACTTGATCCATGGTAACTCTTGCTAGTTTCTGTCCAGTTGAGGTATTTAATGCTGTGACGTCGAAGGATATCATAATTTCTTGGACATTTATTTAGATGCCTCTGATTTACCCTAGAAATAGGATAGAAGATTTGATGGAATGATCGTAGGAATCCGTTAGATGTTTCAATTTTCTGTATAATTCTTTGAATTATTATATGTTGGAGTTCCCGGGAGTGATACAATTGGTCGTAAGAGGATATTTGGCTTGTGTATATTGGGTCTGCCGTACAATCAGGGTAGGACTGGTCAATTGGATTTCATCCGCCATTGGTCTTGTTTTGTGATCTGACCTGAAGAAATCTAAAAGCTCACTTCAATTCAAATTGAAGTATGCGCTGAAGATGTTGTGTAGTGTTGGGGCAATGAAAGCTTCGCAAATAAACCAGCCAGCCAGCTCAGAGAACACAACTACATCAAAAGTTGTCATTTGCACAAATCTTGCGCGTTATTCTACTTATAGCCTTCGTCTTATGTTTCAGTGTCTCATTTGCATGTCTCCCATGTCTTGCCGCAACACTAGTCCATTCGCTCTCTTTGACATCAAATCTATCTCTCCAATATTTGATATTTTCATGTGCCAATGGATGGTTTTTTCGATACTACTGATAAATCTTATCAGTAGTATACGTCATATATGTATATATAATGGGTTATTTTAGAATACTTTGTTCTATCTACTCTATATAATCAGAAACTGAAGGTGAATCAACAATTGGCGAAATGGTACGTAAACAAGGGAAGGATAGAAAACCTCCAGTTCAAGTGAAAATACGGTAAGTAATGTCTGGAATGAAGAAATATGTGTGTTGATTTCTTATTCCACCTACCCATTGTCTAGTGATGTCACTTGATGATTTCCTCAGAGTATGGCCAATCCACCTCCATTTCTTTCCGCATAGTTGTGGCATAATTGGTTCCTGGTTGGTATATTCATTGACAGAGATCCCTATTGCTGATTTTTTCTGGCTAGCCATCTGATCTTGAGTAGTATTAAGCGAATACAGCTGTTGAAGAAGGTCTGTAGTTTGTTAATAGTGCCTTTCGTGACACGCCATTTCTCTGATCCATAAAGTAGCACTGACTTCACATTGAAGTTGAAAATCTAGATCCCACATTTATTTTCCTACTGAGTGCTGTTGACATCCGCACATACTTGAGAATATTGAAAGCTTGCCTTACTTTCCAGATCCTCGATTTGATATCCTCATCAGCCCTGGCCTCATATAGTTGAAACAATGCTCCACAGATAGATGAAGGAGGTTGCTTCTTTCAGATTTCTCCCATTTATGTAGATATAAGTTTATAACTTTGGCACTGTGGCAAATTTTATTACTGCTCATAACCATATCAAAAAACACTGACACACAACGTGTTTTACTGCATTTATATACATCAGTAAAGATTGATGATTAGACATTTGAATAAAAATCAACCAATATAGGATAATGTACATTCAGAAATAATAATATGAGTGTTATCAATTCAGTACAGTCAGACGGGAAATAAGACGAGTGTTTTTATAGTCAAAATAAATAAGCAACTTAACTGGTGCTAATGATATCTTCCATATTTCTGGTATTTGCATTGAGTCATTCCTGTCGCATGTGTTGGGTGTAGACTCGATGAACAAGGATTCATTTGTGTTGATTGTTGACTATTGTTGTTGCTGTCACTGTTGCCCAGGAATCTTCATCACCTCTGTTTTCTCTATGTTAACCTGAAGGCTTCTTCTCTCAACTTGTTTCTTTTCACTTGCATATCTTCCATTCTGTGGTAAATCAGACGCATTTATCATCGGTGAAGTCTAGATCCTCCAAGAATTTTGTGTTGGTCAAACTAAAGATTATTCCTTACATTCCTTTTTATTCTTTTACGTTCCCAGTGAAACACAGGGCTTAAGGCTAGTGGCTTGAAGTTTCAGTAGCAATGGTGTTTCTTTTTACGGGATTGGGTTGCTAGTCTGATGCCTAACCTTCCCTCTTCACCGACCTTACCACTGGCTAAGCGAGGTATGTTGGATTGCATCGGCTGTAGACTGAACCCTGGACCCGATGCGTGGTTAGTGACAGTTCTACCGCTGAACTATCGACGTACTATTCGTTACACTAATTCCTAATAATAGACTAGTTTCATGGATACTTCATCGAATATAAACACGTTTGTACAGATACTTTCAAGAATGATTTATCGTTTTCTAGACTTATTTTTGAGAATTTTGTTTTCATATGTTGGACTGACTTAATAATATCTTGACTTTACGAGTGATTTATGTCGAATATTGTACAAACAGTAGGATCTACAATCTAAAACCAATAAGTTTTTGGAGGACAGGACTTCAGTTGAACACAGTGGAAGCAGAATTGATGATGGCGCCTAACCAACAACAAGCATCAATCATTGTCAAATGCAGCAACGTGAAAGAAAGGAGTCACTAATCAAGATATCAAAGCCGGAATTGGAAAGGCACAACAGGCCTTCACTACTCTGACATCAGTATGGAGACCGAGTGCATTCGTAATATTAAGAAGGAGAGACTTAAATTTTCAAGACTAATGCCAAGTCAGTGAGATACTCCATAAAATTCAGAGACTTGAAGCATCATGAATAACATTTCTAACAGGCCATTCTTGACATTCATCAATAGCTGACTTCTCCTTCCTTACTGAAGATTAGGCAGCCATCGAGAAAGGATGAATGACAAAGATCTTTGGCAGTGAAACAACAAATAATAAGGAAGTGTGTACGAAGCTCTATTCCGGAGCACCCGATCGACTCCTGTCATTCTACCGACCTCAGTCATGATTTTAAGATCATCTACCAAGTCCATGCTAACTTGCCGGCTGCGTTTTCTTCGTTATAGTCTCCTAAAGACAGCGTAGGCTTTGGTCATTCATCACTTTAAGCCAGACCTTCGTGTACAAAAGAAGTACGTACAATCCCTATTCTGCCTTGGCCGTAGAGGGATAGACATTTATTTATTTTGTTTATTTAGTTATTCTATTTACTTTTCCCTTATTACTACGATTATTATTACTATTAACACTATTATTATTACTGTTCTCACTCTGAATTGTTTCCACTGGTCCCATTTGTCATTCTAAATCCAAATTTTTTATAATATTGAATTCTATCTTATCAAATTTCACACCATGTTATGTAACATTTTTATATTCATCTACTAATCTTATAATTCAGGATTTCATCATGAGCTGACATTAGTTAGAGAACCATTGGAAAACCACATGGGAGTACTGGACAGCTGTTTCGTCCTAGTTTGGGACTCTTCAGCAGTACGCACCCACCGGGATTCGAACTCAGGACCTTCCGGTTACAAGGCGAGCTCGTTTACCATTAAGCCACTGGGACCCGATCCAATGGTCCTTGAATTCTAACTTCTGCCAATTCACGACATAGCGCGACCGCTAGCCAATGTCTTCGTGGGCGAGTATTTGTCCTCACACCCGACCAGCTGCACCCTACTGGTCACGACTTATAATTATGTACTCCTTTCCAAAATCTATACATCTTATATATTATTCTTTATATGACATTAATTATTTTGCCACTTGACAGTGAGCTTGGATTATAATCACAAATATTTTAATTGCATTTCATACTACTACTACTACTATGATTATTATTTCATGATTGTACAGCTTGATAATAAGTTCGTTGAAAAGACTCTCTTCGTTGAATATTGTCTTCTTGACCCTTACTCTATTCAATATAAGTATATTCGAGAAACAGTGTATTGTAAAATTTATCACGTGTACAATGTGAGTAGGGAGACCACCCTTCACTGGGTCCGTCTACCCACCGGTAACAGTAGTTGTCGCATGCCTTCTACTGTAAGAGCATCGGTGGTATAGCGGTTAGGACGCTCGCCAACCATGCACATGGTCCAGGATTCGATCCCCGGCCGACGCACTCCTTTACCTCGCTAAGCCAGAAATAAAACCTGGTAAAGAGTAAAGGTTGGGCATGGAGCTAGCAACCCCATCCTCTAAAATAAACTCTGCTACAGAAAATTCAAGCCACTAGCTTGGAGCCCATGTTCCACTGGGGAACGTGAAGGAAAAATTAATTATTTATTTAATCAATAATGTGAGGGGAAACCCAACACAACAACCAATCACATTCAAGGTCACCAGAAGAGATGACTAATAAACTGGTGGAGAAATCTTGAAGCTCACTTCAACAAATTGAAGTATGCGCTGAAGATGTTGCCTAATAGAGGGCAATGAAAGCTTCACAAATAAACCACCATCTACTTGAGAGAACACAACCAAATCAAAGACAAGAGTTAGATGAGAATGGCGAAGTAGTGAGTTCAACTTAAAACACTGAAAAAAAAGAGACAAGCAAAGTTACACTATACTGAAGAGGGAGAGGTTAAATCCAAAGATTACGTAATCAAACAAAAGAGATACAAAGAGTAAAGACATCCAGTTATCAGGATGTTAGGGAAAGACTGCTAACTGCTTCTTTCTGAGTATACTAACTCGGTTTCAATAGTTTGATAAATCACCATAAGAAATCACAAACATGAATAAATTAGAGGTTTTTAGCTTTTTTAGTCGCTTTTTCAAGTTTCTAAGCTTATCAAGAAAATTTTCAAGTATTGGTTTTGTAGGGATTAAGTCTGATTGGTTGCTGGATTTCATCATGAACTGAATATCAGTTAGAGAACCATTGGAAGACCTTCAGGGAGTACTGCCAGACAGCTGTTTCGCCCCAGTGTTTGAAACTCTTCGTCATTACGCACCCACCACCAATGTTTGAGCCCAGGATCTTCTGGTTATAAGACGAGCTAGCTCGTAGACCATTAAGCCACTGGGCCCTGATCCAATGACCGGTGCATGAATTCCAACTTCTACCAATTTACGATATAGTTATCTGGAGTCCTAGCTAGAAGTTGTGACTAATAGGGTACAGCAGGTCGGCCATGAGGAAAAATACTCACCGAAGATACTGGTTAGTGCTCGCTCTGTTTCTTGAACTGACAGAAGTTGGAATTCATGGGCTGGCCATTGGATCGGTTCCCAGTGGCCTAATGGTCTACGAGCTAGCTCGTCTTATAACCAGAAGGTCCTGGGCTCAAACATTGGTGGTGGGTGCTTAATGACTAAGAGTCTCAAACACTGGGACAAAACAGCTGTCTGGCAGTACTCCCTGAAGGTTTTCAATGGTTCTCTAACTGATTCCAGCTCTTGATGAAATCCTCCAACTTATCAAGAAAACTTATCAGTAAAGTACAACTGTAATGTGACCTCACACTAGCGTAATCACTGAAGACGCTGTCCAGAAAGATAATGATAAGTTCTCATTTAAACTATCCAAATGGGAAAACACGCAACCATACCAAAAGAGAGAGGAAGACAGAAAAGTTACTTAATCTTGTGGTTTATTTTTTGGCTTAATTTTAAATCGATAATTTTCTTTTCTTCTTCTTTTTCTATATTCTATAGTCTGCCAAAATGTATCATCTTAGCGGAAGATCCAGTTCTAGCCAGATGGGATCCAGAGAAATCTCAATGGCGTACTAGCGGGATAGAATTAATTCGATTTAAGAAGACGATAATACAATATTATTTCGCACAAGTGTATTCGGTACAATGGCAATATTTCAAGATTATCATATTAATATGCCATTTCAAGTAAGTTAGTTGACACAGATTTATATAAACATCACTACGACAGAACCATTGGAAACAAGCCACTGGGTGTACTGGACAGCCAGTTGTTTCGTCCTAGTCTGGACCTCTTCACAGTACGCACCGTAACAACACATTTCGAACCCAGTAGCTTCTGGCTACAAGGCGAGCAAGCTCACAGACGGCCAGTAGGCCACTGGGACCCTATCCAATGGCCGGTGCATGAATTCTAAATTTTGCCAGTTCACAACATAGCTTGGCCATCTCGCAACGTCTTCTTCGATGAGTTACTGCTTCATCTTCGACCTGCTGTACCCTACATCTTAAGGTTTAGCACTAGGACCCTAGGTCACTACCTGAATAGGGTCTGTCGCTAGTGGGCATCAGATTTATTTTCATAATGTCTTGAGTTCGAACCCTGTCGGGGGGTGGGTGCGTAGTGCTAGAGAGTCCCAAACTGGGACGAAAAAGCTGTCCAGTACCCCCTGTATTGGTCTTCCAATAGTTCTCTAACTGGTGTCACCTAATCATGAAATCCTTCATGCGAACAAATGTCAATTCCTCTACGATCAAGGCAGAAGTAGGGATTGTACATACTTCTTTTATACATAAAGGTTTGGCTTAAAGTTGTGAATGGTTAATACCTCCGCTGTCTTTAAGAGTCTTTAACGAAGAGAAAACATCCGGCAAGTTAGCGTGAATTCGATAAATGATGTTAAAATCATAGTCAGGGTTAGCAGAGTGAGAGGAGTCGATCAGGTGTTCTAGAATAGAGCTTCGCACATTCTTCCTTTCTCCTTTGTAAAACCAAGTAGCTAGCATATGTCCTTATATCCATGTGGAAAGCGTTCTCTAGCTACAGACAATGTGCCTTGCTCCACAAGAAGGCCAGGTGAACTGTTAGATACACATAGAGGCGTGGCTTTTAGTAAGTCAAGTTCTGAGTCAACGCAGTCAGAACTACATATGTTTCCATCCTGAAGAAGGGTGAATCAGTTAGGTTCCTTTTCCTGTATATAGGCACACAACTATAAAAATTAGTTAGTTGTCCATTCCATGTACGCTTCTTGTGGATGGATCTTTTAAGAGATTCATCGTTGCATCCACTAAGGCATACAAAATGAGAATGTTTAGTTCAGATTCGTTTTCAATGGTGAATAGCATGTATCAGTCAGGTGTCGAGACCTATACATCCTTAAGTAAAACTGAACTTCTAAGAAGTAGGCTCTTAAAGTTCATCTTTAGCAACCCGCTAAGACAATCGTCTCTCACTCTCACTATGATGAAGAACTGAGCAATCTCCGAAGAATCCTGATGGAAAACGGTTTTCCGTCTAGGTTCATAGACAAGAACCTCAAATCAAAGAAGACTTCCGAACAAGTTCAATCCGTCCCGAAGAAGATACTTCTGCTTAATCTAGAATTCATAGGTGACACTGAAGCAGAAATTCTTCGTAAACGCCTCTGCAAATCGCTTCGGAGAACATACTTCGCCGTGAGCCTATGACTAACGCTTTCCTGAAAGAAACTGTTCAGCCAGAACGCAAAGACAAGCTGTCGCATTCAGCCACTTTGAGGTGTATATTATGGTTTACTGCTTTTTCGGAGCTAAGTACATCGGCTGTAACCATGTGCCAACTTGAAAAACGAGCTCGTGAACACTATCCAGCCTGGCTAGTGAAAGGAGAACGAAAACGTGTATAAAGTGCAGTGACATTCAGTGCCTTTCGAAAAATCCTTCAAAATAATAAATAAGATTCGATCAAACCTATCAAAGGGAGTGAAATTAAGACATCTAGGCATAGCCGAGACACTAGCCATCCAAAAGCTCAAACCCACGCATTGCATCCAAAAGAAATACGTCCAACCCTTCTCCTTGCCTGCTATCGCCATCATAAACAGGTAATTCTTCTAATAATGACTTTCCCATTGCCATTCTTATCCAAAATTCCTGTTTATTAATGTTATTTTTTAAGTTTTTCTTAATCCCTCCACTGTTTACACTACCATATTTTCATACCCGAACTTCCGGTCTATTTTGTCATTTTACTATTTCTACATATTTAATCCTTAACTGCATAAACAGTTATTCGTCATATTAATTATGATCCCACTAGATTTGTTTATCCAAACATCCTGTCTATTAATGTTATGTCTACATTTCTAACCCCTAATTGCAAAATCAGTGTCAATCTTCTCAGTGTTTATGATGCTACTTTGTCTGAGCTTTATTCTTCCCCCTGTTTATTATGGCATTTCAATTCCTAATTGTAATTTTATTAATCTTACCCTTGACCAGAAATAATTCTAAGACTTTCCCACCCATTTGTTAGAAATACACGAATGTACAGCTGTCTTGTTGACGGTGACTTTGTCGAAAAGAAAATTTTCTTCCCTACAACTGTCTTTTTATTCCACTCTGAATATATTGCTCTCAGCATTTTTCTTATTCTTTTTCTGCATTCTCCTGTAGTGTTGGGAATTACGTCCATTGCCGCTACGAATTGGTAAACTGACTGATGCACAGAATTCCACTACACCAGTTACAAATGATTTGCCTGCAAATAATTTAGAGGCTACACTTACTGCTGTCCCAACGGCTACAACAATTGGTCAACATCAACACCCCTACCAACAACAACAACAACAACAACAGCAACAACAACAACCATCTTCAATGTATAAATCGAATTTACCAACATTGAAAACTACTAATACTGTCGACAATATCAAAGATAAAGAAGTTTCTGTAAGTGGAATAATATTTAAATTATTATTATTATATCTTTTAATTCGTAGAGGAACATAGGGCTTCAGCCGCGCGTCTCCATTGCCTTCTGTTTTCTGCCAACTTTTTCTCCCTGCTCCAAGTCTGCCCACATGCTTTCATCTCCTCCTCACATGACCTCCTCCAAGTCACCCTCACACTGACGACCAACTCGCCGCTTCCCTTTCGGGTTCCAATCGAGATGGCTTGTCTAGTGATGTCACTTGATGGTTTCCTCAGAGTATGGCCAGTCAATCCATCTCCATTTCTTCCTGCCTATTTGTTTCACAATCGGTTCCTGATTGGTTCGCTCATTGCCAGAGATCCCTGTTGCTGATCTTTTCTGGCCATCTGATCTTGAGTATTGAGCGAAGACAACTGTTAATGAAGGTCTGAAGTTTGTTGGAGATGCTCTTTATGACGCGCCAAGTCTCTGATCCGTATAGTAGCACTGACTTCACATTGGAGTTGAAAATCCGGGTGTTATTTTTCATGCCGAGTGCTGTTGACCTCCACACAGACTTGAAAGTAATGAAAGCTTGTCTTGCTTTTCCGATTCTGGCTTTGATATCCTCGTCAGTTCCGCCTGTAGTTGAAACGATGCTTCCAGTGTATAGGTAGGTGAAGGAGGTTGTTTCTTTCAGGTTCCTCCCATTTATGCTGGCTGATTGCTGTCTGTTGTTGTTGATGTTGGCCAGGAATCTTCATCACCTCTGTTTTCTCTATGTTCACTTGAAGTCCTATCTTTGATGCTTCTTCTGCCAACTTGTTGCTTTTCACTTGCATATCTTCCAGTTTGTGGGAAATCAGACATATACCATCGGCGAAATCCAGATCCTCCAAGTCTTTTGTGTGAGTCCATTTTATGCCTGTTTCCTCGTTGGTTGCCGTTGTCTGTCGCATTATCCAATCTACTGCAATCAGGAAGATCATTGGTGATAGTAGACAGCCTTGCCTCACTCCCGTCCTCACTTCGAAGGCTTCCGTAAGTTTCCCGTTGTGGATTACTTGGCATGCAGCATTGTCGTATAACTGTTGGATGAGATGTATAATTGTCGATGGGACCCCGTAGTAGCGAAGTAGTTGCCAAATGACCTCTCGATCGACGCTGTCGAAGGCCTTTTCAAAGTCGATGAAGTTGAGATAGAGAGGTGACTGCCATTCCAAGCTTTGTTCAATGATGATCCGTAGAGTGGCGATTTGATCAATACATGATTTGTTTCTCCTGAATCCAGCCTGTTCCGGACGAAGTTTTTCATCTAGGGCTTGTTTGATTCTCTCCAGGATGATGCGACTTAGTATCTTGCTTGGAATGGACAGAAGCATAATTCCACGCCAGTTTTTACATTGACTTAAGTCTCCTTTCTTTGGTAGTTTGAATAAGTATCCGTTCTTCCAATCCTCGGGTACTTTGCCCTCTTTCCACACCTTCTCCAGCAGTGGCGTCATCAAGTCCGCTGTTGTCTCTGGGTCTATTTTCAAAGCTTCTGCTGGGATTCCATCTGGTCCTGGTGTTTTCCCAGCTTTAAGCATCTTGATTGCATTCAGGACTTCTGATTTCGTCGGGGGGTCAGTGTTCACTGGTAGTTCTGCTTCCGTTGTTGGTATTGTTGGGCGCGTTGTAGGTGGCGGACGATTTAGAAGTCTTTTGAAGTGTTCAGCCCAGTGCTTTCTCTGTTCCACCTCTTTGGTGATTGACTTTCCATTGTCGTCCTTTATTGGCTTAATCTGTGTCGAACGTTTGCCCGATAGGTGCCTAGTTGTTTGGTAGAGTGTGGCGAGGTCTCCTTTGCCTGCAGCTTGTTCTGCTTCGTTTGCCATGGTTTCATAATATTTTCTTTTGTCTTCCCTGGCACTCTTCTTCACTCTTTTGTTCAGTGTATTGTAGCTTGCATTCAGCTCCTGTTTTTGTTGCTCGTCGGTGCACTGGATAATCTTTTGTTTCACTGTCCTTCTCTCTTCTATTAGTTTCCAAGTGTCCGTAGTGAGCCACTGTTTGTCCTGTCTCTTTTTTCTGCCTAGAATTTCTATGCAGGTTTGGCTCCACACCGTTTTCAAGTTGTTCCAGTGCTTTTCGACGCTGACCTTTTCGCTGGTGTTGATTTGTATCTCGGCTTTGTCCTTTATGCTTGCAATGAAGATGTCCTTTGTAGCCTGGTCCTTCAGCTTTTGAGTGTTGAACTTGGCTTGTGGTCTATCTGCAGCTCCTGATTCCCTGAAAGCTTTTAATTTGATTTGGATTGTCCCTTGTACGAGATAGTGGTCTGAGCCAACGTCTGCTCCTCTTCTTGCTTTTGTGTCCAGTAGGCTGCGCCTCCACTTCCTTGAGATTGAGATGAAGTCGATTTGGTTTTTGGTTTGCCCGTCTGGTGACACCCATGTAGCCTTGTGGATATCTTTGTGCTTGTATACACTGCCACCAATCACTAGTTCGTTGAAGGCGCAGAAGTCGGCGAAGAGTTCTCCGTTTTCATTCATTTCTCCGAGAGCTTCTCTACCCATGATGAGTTCCCTTCCTGTGTTGTCTGGTCCCAGTTTGGCGTTCATGTCTCCCATTAGTATTTTCATGTCGCCAGCTGGAGTATTGTCCATTGTTGCCTGTAGTTGCCTGTAGAATTCTTCTTTCTTCTCGAGGTCTGCGTTGTTTGTGGGTGCATAACATTGTATGATTGACACTTTCCTTCCTTTGGAGTTGAATCTGGCGGTCATTATCCTGGACGAAATCGCCTCCCATTGCATCAGGGCTTTCGTTGCCGTTGGTGACATCATGATAGCCACGCCCTCGGTGTGCGTGTGGTTATCTTCTGGGTGACCGGAGTAGATCACTGACTCACCCGTTGACAATTTGGTGAGTCCACTCCCATTCCATCTGCTTTCACATATTCCCAGTACTTGGATTCCGTATCTTTTCATCTCGTTGGCGATCTGGGCAGCTTTTCCAATCTCGTACATGGTGCGGACGTTCCATGTACCCACACAGACTTTTCTTTTTGGTGCAAAGAGGTTCATCATGCTGAAGTTTCTGTAGCAACTTTGTTTACAGGGTGGGGTTGCTAGCCTCACGCCTGAGAAAGGAATTGTTACATTAAGATAAAGTTTAGAGAGAGGCGACCTTTTGGGTTGCTTCCCTTAAAATATTCAAATATTCCTACGAAATTTCAACGAGTTTGACCACGCACAGATTGATATCAGTTAGAGAACCACTGAATAGTATACGAGCCAGCTATGGAGCTGGCGTTGTAACCGAAGGTCATGGGCTTGAACCCCACTGTGGTAGGTACTGAGTACTGCTGATGATTCCCAAACTAAGCTGCCCAGTATTCCCTGCTTGTTTCCAATGGTTCTCTAACGGATATCAATCTGTGATCAACTCATAAAAACAAAGCCAATCCTTACAAACCAACCATAGGAAATTCTTATGAGTCTTTACACAATTGATTACATATTTATTAAAAAGAAAGAAACGTTGAAGGAAGACGGTTACTCTATGTGTAAAACTTGAGCACTATGGTGGTAAGTAATTCCATATTAGTTTGTTTATTAGATGCATCACACAGTGAAACAGTATTATATACTGGATGACGTTTCGAACTAAATTTATCGTGATTCATAATCAGATCAATTATAATCACACGACTTTGAAACTTGAGTTTTATAGTTTACTTTGTCAACTCCTATTTATCGTCTTAGGGGTAGTAGAATTTTCCAGACATCCGACTGAACATATGTTGAATCATTCCTATTACATGTATTTGCAGTTGATTCGATAAAGAAAGCTTCTGCTATCAATCTCTCCCTCCTACACCCTGGGACATTAAAATTTAAAACTGTCATCCTATCCCATCCATCCTATTGTATGGTTGTGTGTAACTGCATGTAGTGCTGTAGCTGAACTATTCTCTAGATTTCTTATCTAATTTTGGTCAGCCAATCTAGATTTTGCTAGGTTTTTATGTTCGGCTAGTCTGACTGCCACTGTTCTACTATTTTGACCTAAGAATCATTGCTGGGTATTAGATGAACTAAATTGTTTTGTTTGAAAGGCTCCACAGGATCATTTAACCGACACAGCTTGTTTCTAATTGAGTTTGTGGGTTTGAATGCCAGTCACTCTTATTTCTGGCTGCATTGTTCCCAAGGTACCTTCCTTGTATGGAATTACTACTGATGATTTAGATTCCTTATTGTTGATGCTGTCTTGCGCATGTTTGACATACATGTCGTCACTAATATTAATATTATTATCACTACCACTATTATCATTATTTATTTCATTTTTACATTTCCCTAGATATTTCCAGACTAATTTATCCGGATAATTATTAGGTTTCAAGGCTTCTTTTATATGTATCACTTCCTGTCTTAGATTTTCCTTGGTACTAATAAGTTTTTGTGCTCTGTCACTTAAACATTTCACCAATCCTATTTTTATTGACATAGGATAGGTGGAATGATTGGAAGTCCCAATATCTGTTTGAATGTGTGGGTTTCCGTATACACCAGTGTGTGTTTAACTTCCCATCTTCTTTCCTTTTTACGCTGCAACCTAACATTTCAGTTCAATTGATCAAACCCCTATTTATATCTATACAGATTATATGCTTTTACCAATCACTGAGTGTATGATTTTGGTTTACATTAAACGATGGGAAGTAGACTGTTGAAATGCATATATACGTGGTATTCTGTGGCTAATGCAGTATTGAACTGTGGGAATATATGAGAATAATATTCCTTTGGAACACATTTTCTGTATCACACTACCACACTCAACCCCCCCCCCTCGCGTCAAAATCTTTCGATTGAAGTTAGTTCAGTCTTCTAAATGCTGGTAGCTTCGTTAGTTTGTCTTACTGTATCGAATTTCGCAGCTCACTAAAATCCACCCACTTCTCTTTCTTTTTGTATTTCTGATCGTATATACGTGACTACATCTCAGGGTGAACATGTGTAGTCGTTCCCACTTTAGAAACAGTTTACTTGACCCTAGAGCGTATTAGATAGTTAGAGGCAGTCGGCAAGGCTTCCCTGCTGCCGAATTATGCTGTGTCTTCAAAATAACTCCTCGTTTGCGTTCGGGAGTAAAATACCAATTGACAAATTTCGCCTCTTTCATGTGTATCTACCGATTTAACTGCTCTTGTGGAGCCAGTTAGCTGCTTAGGCGCGTACAATTAGGCGTGTTTCTCATCAGATTTCCGAACATCATCCTGCACAGTGGTTGGTTAAGTAAAGGACAAACAAAATCTATTCATATAGAGCTATTCTATCTCATCTTGTGGATACAACAGAACACAAGATTGATGTTAACGAGGAGGCTTTCAAAGTTATTTACCGCATACCTATGAATCTCAATTTTGCCTTAAGAGTTCGACTACTAAATATTGCTGAGGCTGTGGGGATCCATATTACCATGTCTAATTTATGCATCCAAAAGAAGTTAGTTAAGACGTTATCATTACCTTGGCCATCCAGGTTCGAATAATCCTCAATGTTTGTGGAATTTTCCTAATTTTAGTTGACATTCTATTTGCTACTATATCTTTATTAGTATTATAATTTGAGGATCTTTAATGAACTGTAATTCCACTGATCTTGCCCTACAAACCGACATTATTTAAAAAACACTAATATTGTTATTGACTACTATTCTAGAATATTCTATGTATATAAACATATACGTATATACATTATAATAAAGGTTTTTGTATTTCCCAATGAATTATAAACAAAACGATACTGTTTTTACTGACGTTTCCCTATTTAATGCTAATAGCTTTATCAAAGTATTATTAAAATATATATAAAATAATATTTAATTAATATACGTATATAATTGTAGAACCAGAACAGCAGGAAATTATCGAAAAGGATATTCTTTACTCAATCATTGAGTTGACTTAGAATATCCAGACGATATAGTCCTTCTAGGCGAGGACGCTGACAAAATCCAGCAGTCTTCTAAACACTTTGAGCTGCAGTCTACGAATGTTTGGCATGCGATTCACTCCCACCAAATGCAAGATGATGTTACAGGACTGGACCACACTGGCTCCTAGTTTAGAAATAGGGAGTGAAGTGGTAGAGCACGTTGACCGCTTCACTTATTTGGGAAGTGCCATCAGCCAGCTCCAGCCAGTTGATCTCTGACGAAGTCTCAGCTGAGTACGCATACAGAGGGCTAGTTTCGTATATGCCATTTTATGCCGTCTCTGGCTTAGTAGACGTAATACCCAGCTATTGACCAAAGGGCGGGTATGCCGCTCATCAGTCCGCTCCGTTCTCCTTTATCGCTGTCAGTGAGACCTGGCCATTGAGAGTGGAAGACATGAGAAGATTAGCTGTCTTTGATCATAGATGCCTGCGTTCTATCTCCTGCGTGAAGCGGTATAATAAGGTGAGCAATATTAAGGTTAGGCATCCGTCGAGTTCTAGGTAAAAAGGTGAAGTCAATCGAAGAGGTTGTGAAGTTACATCGACTGAGATGGTTAGGAAATATGTTACACTTGGCTGTCTAGCCATCGCCTTCCTCACTGTACAATTTTATCTGATATAGGGTCAGGTTGGAAAAGGGCTAGCGTCGGTCAAACCAAAACATGGCCTCATCAGTCAATGAAATCCACAACAGTTAGTTTAAGTCACTTAGGAAGGTGTAGACATCCTGACTGGTTGGAGTCCTCGGGACGTTAAAAACCGATGGTTGGAAAAAATTGGTGATATGGCTCAAAATCGTTCTCAATAGCTGGTGCAAATCCATCCACTCCTTGTGACTTATGACTTCCAATGAAACTGTGTTGTTCTTCGTTATTACAATTTTCTTTGTCTAACAACTTTGTTTACTGTCTCTATTTTGCATTTCTTTTTACTTTCTTCTCTTGCTTTGTGCGCTACAAGGAGTGGGAGTGTGGTGACTCGAACTGCTGCACATCGGTGCAAAGTTCTATGTGGAAAAAAGACAGACAGACAGACAATCATTTTGTATTTTTGATTGAAGACTAGTCAGTATCCAGTGTCTCAATTGATTTGATTGTAGTTTTTTTTGCAATTAAGGCTTTTGACATTACGTATTCTGAGATCCAAAATTTAATAATAATAATAATCACAGCTTTATTCCAAACAGTATTTGTAGTACAGGTATGGAATTTTCAGTGTGCATTACAATATATTGCATCTAAATACCTCATAAATTTTATAAGATTTTTAAAATCAAAAAGCAACACCCAAAAAAAACATAAAGAAAAAGAAACAGCATTGCGTTTACATTTTAAACAATGCACTACAGGATATGATGTATAAAATTGGTGTGTAATAGAAGATAAGTACAACAAGAACAATTTAAATAGAACTTTACAAATTTCTTTGTTTCACCCTTCTTTGTTAGATTGTCAGTATACCTGAAGCATTAACAACCGACTATATAAAAGATGGCCAGATGGATAGTACAAAAGAACACATGATTCTTGGTCCAGTAACAACAATTGGCTTGTCAAATGAAGCTTATCTCTCTGAATTATCCAATACAAATCAATGCCTGCTGACAATCACTGGTGGTGTCATCGAAATACGCCTACATATTCTAGGGGATAGAATCGCTATCCTTCCAAGTATTCCAGAAGGCATGACACGTACAGAAGTTGATTCACCGTTAACTGGTGGAGCAACACCATCAACAGCAACAGCGGCAGCGTCATCAGCTACAAGTGTAGTCGGAGGCGGCGTTGGCGTCGGTGGAAGTGTCAGTGTTGGTGGAGTTACAGGACCTTCTGTTGGTACAGGATCAGGTAGTGTAAGTGCAGCTGCAGGTGGAAGTGAAACAGAACAGAATGGAGCAGATTTATTAAACCATACAAAGCGTGAATTAAATCATCTGTGGGGGAAATGGTATACAGTAGATGAATTGATCACAGTGCTACAGCTGTCTGGTGTCAATTTATTCCCTAGAGAAGATTCAGTCAGTCGGATTGAATGTCTTAAAAAGGTAGACACTTTCTTTTTAATTGCCGTTAATTAATTCACAATTTTGATAGGCTAAAAGGAATCGGTCATTCCTCCACATGAATTACGTCGGTGGCACAGTGGTTAGGACTCTCACCGACCATACACATGGTCCGAGTTTCGATCCCCTGCCGACGTACACCTGATATCTATAGTCGGCCTGCAAATTTTGGGTTACCTATACCTCATGCTGAAAATTCCATACTTGTACCAAAAATACGGTATGCAATCAAGCTGTAATCAAAAAAATTAAATAAAAATAAAACAAAAAATAAAGAAAATAAATAAAATAATTGATTTTTACAACTAAAAACATTTATTTCCCGATACGAATTTAAATGAAGCAACAAAGCAGGTTAATAAAGCAGGATTTAATGATGGATTCATCGAATTTCGGTAGAACTCGTCAACTGAATACTCGACATACACGGATATACATACTTTTGAAATTACATTAAGAGATATAAGAGTTATAAGTAAAGATACTACATTGAATTAGTCATACAGAAAGACAGGTGCGAATGTTTTCCAGGTCATGTTCAAATAGACAAAGGGAGAGAGGGAGCATGAGAGATCAAAATTAAGATTAAATGCATTACGCTTGAATTACATCACTTAGATAAACAATTAGTCATTAGAGAATATATCAAGAATTGCATACAGACTAATATCAATAGTAATAGTTACAATAATAATAAGAATAATAATAGTGTTGAAGTGAGTTAAGATAATCCTACTGATAAAGGATAGTTTTAAATTAATCAAGAATAATAATAATAAGAGGTAGAATAATAAGTAAAATGTATTACCATGGTAGATTTAGAGTGATGATCATCTGCTTTAGTACACAGAGACCTGGTTTGTAAACTCAAATTGCACAAGCCTCTGCAGTTGCAAGTATCTTCCTGTTTCTCTGTCTGCTGACAAAAGTGAATGACCTCACAGTGCTGATGTCATTTCCACAGTCTACAAGATGTTTTGTTATTGAGGTTTTTCGGCACTTTGCATTCAGCTGTTTTCAACCATTTTGTCAAATGCTCCATCATGCGAGTAGACAATCGCCTTTCTGTACGACCTATGCGTATTTGCTTCCACAAACACACTCAATTTGATATACGTGGTTTGAAGTGTTTGTTTAACTTATAAGTCTAATATCTCCCAGTGTAATTTCAAAAGAATATATATCCCTGTTTGTAGAGTTGTCAGCTGGCGAGTTCAACCGAAATTTGATGAATTTATTAAATCCTGATATTTGCAGCATTGGACTGAAGTGCCACGTCAGTGTTGATATGTCGGCTCCTCATATGGTTGCTTTGACGATATTTGAAAATAAAAATGACGTTACAATATATACATCATGAGCTGACACTGGTTAGAGAACAATTGGAATACCTGCAGGGAGACTGCCAGACAGCTGTTTCTTCATAGTTTTGGACTCTTCATCAGTACACACACGCCGCCACAGTTCGAACCCAGGACCTTCTGGTTACAAGGCGAACTAGCTCATAGACCTTTAAGCCACTAAGACCCGATCCAATGACTGGACCATTAATTTCAACTTCGGCTAATTCACGAACCCCGATGGGTGCGTACTGAAGAAGAGTCTCAAATTAGAATGAAACATTTGTCTGGCAGTAATTCCAGGTTTTCTAATGGTTCTCTAACCGATGTCACATCATGATGAAATCCTGTAATTGATCAATCGATGAACTTGCCACAAAACCGATACTTTAATATGACGTTATTTTGGTTGGTGTCCCACATGCGGGTGATGGCTTCTACTGCTTATTGTATTAAAATAAACGAAGTTAGACACAAATCATCAAAGGTGATATCTCTATCTATAAGTACTGAATGATGCACGTTTGAATCATCAAGAAAGCAGCAGCTTCGTCTAGGCTTTAAATACGCTAATATATAGAAATAGAAACTGGGCACTGTGGTAGGGCATTATTCCATAACAGGCTAAAATTTATTTCCCAGTTGGTTGTAATTCTTTTCATATCTATGGTCATTTCTGTTGCACATGATGTGTTCCGTGTAGACTGGATGAGCCAGGATTCAGCAATCAACCTCTCTCTCTCCACCTACCTATATTTCTTCTTAGAATTGTAATCCTCTCGTTCCAACCCTATTGTGTAACTGTGCGTTCTTGTTACGTGTAGTGCAATCGTTGAGCTCTCTTCTAAAATTACTTATCTTCGCGAGTGGGGTCAATCATTCTTATCCTAGCCATTAAATTCTTATCTTCACACCAGACAATCTGATTACCTCGCCCGATCTATTAGTTTCACCCATATAGTTAGTAGATGAATTAACTCACAGTCATTGCAAGGCATTCTGTAAATTATATTATTTTGTCTAACTAAGTCCACCGGGTCCTTTAGCCTACAGAGTTGATTTTGTCCTACCTGAGTGATTTTGTAGATTTTTGCTTGCCACTAGCCTAATTCCTGCTTTATTAAGAATCCTACGTGGGTAGGATCTCAGATTTCACATCCTTCCTTATATGCTAGAATCACTGTAGGTACCTTATATTCTCTCTTGTTCATATTGTTAATAGTTTCTCCATTATTTTTATTCTACTTTGGCCTTTTCTCATCTTTCTAATGAATTTTATAGGATAGTTGAGTTATCTGACACCAACCAGCTCTTCTTCTTCTCTCCGTTTTATTTCATCATTTAGGTCTTTTTGTACGTTGGTGGCACAGTGGTTAGGACTCTCGCCGATCATGCACATGGTCCGGGGTTCGAGCCCACGCCGACGCACGCCTGATATCTATGGTCAGCCTGTGAAATTTGGGCAACCGATATCCACGATGAAAATTCCATACTTGTACCAAAAATACGGTGTGGAATCAAGCTGTAATCAAAAATAAAAATAAAAAATAATTTCTTGTACTACTTAGCGCTACTGCTCCTCGGTTTGTTAAACACTTTGTTGTGTTGCTCTGTTTGACTAAACTATCCTACACGTATATCCTAGTACTTCTTCGCGTTTATTATTGTGTCCTAACGTGGTGATTACTCGACATCCACAACGTAAATCAAAAGGCACTTGAGAAGGAGTCTGAACGTGTATTATCGCAGTAATTAAAATTCAAAAGTTGAGTGAGTAAAAAAGTATCAATTGTTAACACGCAATCTTTAGAATGATAAACAAATCAAAGTTCAATTGGTGGATGGTGGCTAGCAGCGGAATCCAGGATGCGCATTTCGTCCTATTTGGGACTCGTCATCTGGATGTACCTGCACTTCTCAGTGAGTGATGATGTTCCCACCGAGGCTCGAACCCAGTACCCATAGTTTCAAACGCCAAAGCGTTATCCACTAGACCACTTGGGCCACGAGAGCCACCTCTTGTGCAACGGGTCATATTAATTATTGAATTGAATTTTTGATTTTCTCGTCGATTTATTGGACCGAAGTGCTCGGTCTCAGGTTGACACGTCGGCTTCTTGTGCAGATGCTTCGACGATATCTGGGTATTTAATTAGTATACAATTGGTGGATGGTGGCTAGCAGTGGAATCCAGGATGCGCATTTCGTCCTATTTGGGACTCGAGCCTTGGTGGGAACATCATCACTCACTGAGAAATGCAGGTACATCCAGCTGACGTGTCCCAAATGGGACGAAATGCGCATCCTGGATTCCACTGCTAGCCACCATCCACCAATTGTATACTAATTAAATACCCAGACATCGTCGAAGCATCTGCACAAGAAGCCGACGTGTCAACCTGAGACCGAGCACTTCGGTCCAATCAATCGACGGGAAAATCAAAAATTCAATTCAAAAATCAAAGTTCAATTAAATAGTGAAAACATGCTATAATGATGAGTTATTAAAATGCGTTGCTACAACTTAACTAAGCCCACCTTTACAGATAGATAACGATGTATGAGATGAATTTAAGTCTAAGTATCTATTAGCAGAATGAGTAGGCCTTTTATAAACGCTAGTGCAAATACTCCATGGTGACAAGTGCTTATAATTACAGAGCTTAAGGTCAGGGACTGGTGATGACTACCTCGAACCACGTACTATTAGAACCGTATATGCCGTTTACCAACATTGGAGTTCATTGCTTACGTCACATTCAAACACACGCCCTACTCACCGATTTTTTTTTTATTTGCCTTTTGAAATCTCTTTCTACTGTTTCTTTATTTAGAATCCTTTAATTGAAGAATCGTTATATGAGAATATGGCACTGTTAAGTCCATCAGTAGCATTTGGTTGGTCGCGATGGAATTCAGAATGTCATGATCACAGTACAATTGTTTTAACAGCTGTTGAACATGTGGACAATGAAGAATCAGTGGATGAGGTAAAGCTTTTTTTTTTATTATTCATATCAAAATTCATCGAGAACTATTGATTATATTAGTAATGTTCTTTCGGGTGTCCAGTGGAACATAGGGCTTCCATAACACATCTCCACTTTGTGTTCTATTTTCTGCCGTCCTTTTCAGCTGGGAACATGACTGATCATAATCTCTCATCTCCTCCGCTTCACACGATCTCCTCCATAACATCCTCGGACACACGACCAACTTGTCGTTTAATATTCATCATCTTCCAATCGACCAATGACCTAGCTGGTGCTCGGTGTCATTCCACAATCTATTCACTATGCGCCCAATCTATCTCCATTCTCTTCTCTACATCGGTTGAGCAATAGGTTCTTGATTGGTCCGTTCCCAGAGTTTCTTCTTGATAATTCCTACCACCAACCATTCGATCTTCAATATTCAGTCAACGAGAGCAGTTTTTGACAATAGTCTTCAGCTAGGTGTTGGTAATGCCTTTCGCGACGCGCTAGCCATGATTCCAATATACACCAAATAACTGACTAACCTAACATTTATGTTGAAAATCCGAATTTCATTCTTTATGCTTCTGAGTGTGGAAGGTTTCCAAACTGATTTCAGAATGATGAAGGAGTATCTTGCATCTCCGATTCTGGCTGGCTGGCTGGCTTTGATATCTCCATCTGTGCTGTTGCCTGTAGTTGAAACGATGCTTCTCAGATGAGTCAAAGAAATAAGTGACTTCTTTCAAGTTTTTTTTTCCTTTGATAGTGATTGGTGTGGGTTGTTTTTGGGGCGTGTATTTCTTCATCACCTCTGTCTTTTCTACGTTCATCTGCATTCTTGTCTTCCCCGCTAGCCTCTTCAGCCAGTTTGTTGGTTTTTGACTGTATGTCTTCGAGTTTGTCTTGCATTAAACATATATCGTCTGCGGAATTCATATCTTCTGGATTCTTGTTATCGGTGGTCCAAAATGTTTCTGTCTTCTCACTCCTACGCACAGTCTGACGCATACTCCAGTCCACCACAGTTAAGAATCTCACGGGTGACAATAGTCAGCCTTGTCTTACTCCGGCATGAACTTCTAACGCCTCGCTGAGCTGTCAGTTGTGTATAACCTGACACCTGGCATTGTAATATGGCCAACTGTGACTGAATTAGGTTGATGAAGCTTTGGGTGACTGCATGCCATAGTGTTGAAGTAGTTTCCAGATTATTTCAATGTCAAGACTGTCTGTCAAAAGCCTTTTCAAAGTCGATAAAGGAATTTGAGGTAGAAGTTTGACTGCCATCCTATGCATAGGGTTGCAATTTGATCAGCATACGACTTGCCTTTCCTGGATTCAGCTTGTTATGGTAGGTGGAATTCTACATTCAGCGCAACTTTTATTCTCTCCAGGATAATGCGACTCAGTACTTTACTTGTCGTGTACAACAGCGTGATTCTGCGCCAGTTCGTGACGGTGCGTAATTCCCCTTCTTTGATAGAGAACTGATTTCAATTATAGAAAAATGGAAAACCAACTGGAAATACTGAACATCTGTTTCATCCTTGCTTAAGAGTCATCATCACTACGCACACATATCCCCCAATAGGGGTCGAAACCAAAACAAAAACTTGCCGATGAAATATGCTTCTAGTTGTTCTATTTACAGTGGATTGTCACAAGTTAGAATTGATAGGCTATTGGATTTTGTCACACAAACACTGGCTAAATTGTTAATGAACTCTTCTTGTAACCTCAAGGTTTTGGGTTTCATTCCTAGTGACGTCATGAGTGGGTACCACTGAAGAGATGAGAACAGGGACGAAACATTCGTCTGATACTCTTTGTTTTTCAATGATTGTCGAGCTAACATCGTTTCATGGTTAGTCTTGAAAGCAATCACGTCCCCGAAAGCCAACACTTGAGAATTACTAACGTTTAGGAGTAGCGGAAAGTTGGTTATCGGTATACCCATTTACCTCTGCTGTGAAATAAGTTGAATGTTTGCATAACATTTTGCCTGCTTTTTATCTATTGAACGCGATAGTCTGATTAGTTGTTACACATTCACTCAGGAGCACATATTAATATTATTATTACTCTCCTGTGTTCCGTGTGGAACACACTGCTTCAACAACACATCTTCACTTTCAAGCGCTGGTTTGTAGGGATTTGACTGGTTTACAGGGTTTCATCATGAGCTGACATTAGTTAGAGAACCATTGGAAAACCTGGGAGTACTGTACAGCTGTTTCGTCCTAGTTTGGGACTCTTCATCTTCACTTTGTTCTTTTTCTAACATCTTCACCTGGCTAGCTCCACGGTTGCCCACAATCTCTCATTTCCTCCTCGCCACACGATCTCCTTCATTCCACCCTGCGACCAATGCCCCATTCTTCGCTTCCCGTTAGCATTCCATTCGACCGATGACCTGTATTACGCGCGATGTCATTCGATGGTCTCATCGGTGCATGCTCAACCTATCTTCACTCTCTCCTACATATTTGTTGTGCAATCGTCTCTTGGTTGGTTTGTTACCAGAATTTTTTATTCCTAATTTCTTCTGGCCAGCCATCTGATCTGCAGTATGGGGCCAGCTATTGGGGTAGCTATTGATAAAAGCTTGTAACTTGTTGGAAATCTTTTTCGTGACTGACACGCAGTGCAAGTGTCTGACCTGTACAGAAGAACTGACAGTCCATATCTATTCCATCCACTCTCGCAGATTCTCAATGCTTCTATGCTATATCTCCACATTTCTTTGGCTACCTGGACAGCCTTCCAAGTCTTGTACATTGTACGTACACTCCACGTCCCCATTCTTATTCTTCCCTTCATCGAAAGGAAACACATCAGTTTTCTGACTGGCTTTCTGAAGACTTTCACCAGCCCGCGTCATTTCTTTCCCCCTATTCAAGCGAGGAATAAATTTGTTTCTCATATCTTTTGATTTTTTTAAATATTTTTTTGTGCGTCGAAGTTTCTGTAGCAGTTTGATTGATTTCGTGGGTAGGGTCCCTAGCCGCATGCTCAATCCTCCCTCTTCATCTGGACTTAGGACCAGCTAGAAAACTAGCGATCCAATAAACTAGGCGGGGTTCAGGAACATATAGCACAGTGTAAGCATATGATGGAGAAGATGTGTAGCTCAGGTGGATGATTTTGATGTGGTTATATTCTCTGAGCTGGATGGTTAATTTGCGAAGCTTACATTGCCTTACTAGGCAACATTTTCAGTGCATACTTCAATTTGTTGAAGTGAGCTTTTAGATTTCTCCATGAGTTTATTAGTCATCTCTACTGGTAACCTTGAATGGGTCTGGTTGTATCACAGGCAAACAAAACGGAGGGTTGTGCAGGAAACAGGTATGTCTGCAGTCTTGAGATTCAAACCCATTTCGCCTAGTGTTGCAGTTAGTGATGTCACCTCTGTAGGTGACAGGGGTTCGAATCTCAGAAGAGACATGAATTCCTCCAAGATTGTAGATGCGCCTTGCCCTGACTGGTGAGTGCCAACAAACACGAAACCTAGATCAATTGAAGGATTTCTCATGCTGATTGTTGCCAACAACTATGCATCTCATCCAACAGTTGTACGATAATGCTGCATACGAAGTAATCCACAACGGGAAACTCACGGAATTCTTCGAAGTGAAGACAGGAGTTAGACGAGCTGGCTGCCTACCATCTCCAATGACTTTCCTAATTGCGGTAGATTGGATATTGCGACAAACTGCGGCAGGAAACAAGCCCAAAATGGGCCCACACAAAAATCTTTGACGATCTGGACTTGGCCAATGACATATGTCTTACTTCTTACAAACTGGAAGATATGCAAGTAAAAAGCAACAAGTTCGCAGAAGACATATCTAGAGAAGACAGAACTTCAGGTGAAAATAGAGAAAATAAATGTGATAAAGATTCCTGGCCATGGGCAACAGCAACAACAACAGACAACAATCGACATAAATGGGAGAAATCTGAAAGAAGTAACCTCCTTCACCTACCTACCTACCTACCTGGGAAGCATCGTTTCAACTACAGGCAGACTCGACTGACAAGGATATCAAAGCAACGAGGATCGGAAAAGCAAGACAAGCTTTCATTACTCTGAAGTCGGTGTGGAGGTCAACAGCGCTCAGCATGAAAATGAAAATAAGATACGGATTTTCAATTCTAATGTGAAGTATGTGCTACTTGCTATAAGGATCAGAGACTTGGCACCGTATCACGAAAAGCACTTCGAACAAACTACACATCTTCTTCAGCAGCTGTATTTGCTCAATACTACTTAAGATCGGATGGCCAGAAAGGATCAGAAACAGAAATCTATGGCAACCAGCGAACTAACTCATCAGGAACCAACTGTGCAACAAATATACAGGAAGAAATGGAGGTGAATCGACCATATTCTGAAGAAACCATCAAGTAAAATCACACACCAGACCATTGCTTGAGTGGAACCTGAAAGGAAAACGGTGACTCGGTCGTCAGTGCGAGGTTGACATGAAGAAGGAGGTCATGTGAAGAGGACATAAAAGCATATGGGCAGACGAGGAGTCAAATGAAAACATTGGTAGAGAACTGAAGGCAATAGAGACGTGCGGCTAAAACCCTATGTTCCTCTAGGAAGTAAAGGAAACACTAATAATAATAATAATGCTGACTGCCTCCAAACATCTAATAACAACCATTCTCAGTGCATCGTAATGACGAGCCAACTAGTGGCATGCTGACCACATTGCAAACCTAACTCATAGTGTGGTGAGAGCAGGTCGTGAGAGAATATGTACAAGGCTTATTCAACAACCAATCACAGCAAAGTTAACGTGGCAAAATATGATTCGCAGATAGAGAACTCTATTTGTCGAGGAATCCCGAAACAACCAATCAGAAGCCTGCGTTTGTCTGCCTAACTTCTGATAAACAACCAATCAGATGACTGCGCTTGTCTACTTGCATAAGCTATAATAATGTATGTGAAATATGTATAAATACGTGTTCATTTTCATAATAAAACGATCTGTTGTTACAATAGTATTCAGTCTGCAGAGAAACAAAGGACTAGACACACGAAACTAGTCAATGACCAGTGTGAAATCAAAGTATATACAATGTTGGCTTGAATTTTTTTTAGAAAACAAAAAGATTGAGCGAGCGAAGAAATATTTACTATTTTCAATTAGATCCTCATCTCACTCTGGCTCTACTCTAATATACACATATAGCAGTTTAATTACAATACACAACAATTTACCAATCAAGTGGCACTGATATATTTGTTAACAATAATTAAACAGTGCCAAAATGTCAATGGGTTAATAATAATTAACGAAAAAAATCAATACACACTTAAAAGTTCAAAATGGATAGAATAAATTAATTTTACAAGGATAACACGTAAATTAAAGATGAAGTGGTCAAAATAAATAAAAATAAAATAAATAATTTAGACAATTATAATTTTATAGGTTTAGGGAGACGCAGTCCTGTTTATCCATTCTTGTGACGATGGCCAAGGTAGGGGGAAAGTGGCTGTACAAATTTTTTCTGTACACATAGGCTTGGCTTCTTCAGGTGAATTCCAATCGCTTCGGTCGTCTGTAGAAGACGAAGTCGCAGAGCAAAATTAAGATAAGTCGGAATGCGATAAATAATTTTAAATGCTGTATTCACATCAATCTTATGCTCAGTATCAATGAGGTGGGCTAAAATAGAGCTAGCTACGAATAGATCTTTTTTATCCCTTACTTAACCATGTTGGATGATGTTCGGAAATACGACGATGAACTTGCCTAATTGTACACCCAATGTAGCTGCAGTCAAAGTGGTAGATACACATAGAGCAGGGGGATTTTTTCTTTATTGAATTTTTTTATAACCGCTTATTTTTAAGAGGTTTGATGCCGTGTTGTGTAGGACTTTGAAGATTTTCTCAAATGAAATTGAGAGTCTTGAGGCGACAAACTGTTCTCTTATCTAACGAAATACACACTGCTCTTCTCCTTTTGCTCTCAAGTCTTAGTAGTGTTTTCAAGCGCATTTTACAAGTGATTGCATAACACAGACGATATACTCATCTCTAAAGGAGAACGTCAACTTAGTATCAACACTGTCGAAGAAAACATTTTGACTTCCTCTAAGAAATGAGTCTATTTGACTATCAAAATATACACACCAATCATCAAACTGAAGAATTAGACAATATGAAACTTTATGATTGCATAATACCTTTATTGACTCTTTTAGTCTATAATCCTATGAAATAAAAGCAGCCTTCTCTTAGATTTCCCATTTTAAACTATGATTTCTTTATAATAAATATAACTTTTATGGATAACATTTTACTTTGATAAAATCACACACTGTTTGTTGTACAGTAATATTTTGTAATGACGTTTCGAGCACAAACTATTTCTCATAATCATGTGGCGAGAGCTGTCTGCTAGCTGAAATGGTAGACAGCAATTTAAGTCAATGTTTACATCCCATATCTTGGTCAATCATGGCAGACTTAGCGTGGGATGGATAAAATTCGCATATGCATGGTTTGACCTTCAAAAAAATGGCCACAAAGAAATGACAGATTAACTTTCAGCAAGAAAATAATCAATCAGAAGAGGCTGTTTCTCTGCTAACAATAACGAATGATAATGTACATAAATATCTATAAATATCTCTTCATTTTCTCAATGAACGATGTGTTACCCCTGGCCCTCGGCTTCTGTTGTTACAATCATATCAAGTCACTCACATAACTATTTTACATCATTTATATACATGAGTAAAAATTGATGAAATATTTGAGTAAAATCAATATAGGATAATACATATTCAGAAATAATAACAATATTAGTGTTATCACTTAAATACACTCAGATGGGAAATAAGATGTTTTATAGTGAAAATGAATGAGTAACTTGTTAGAGTGTTATAATGTGAATTAGGGTGGCATTCAAACACCTACAAACTCACTCAGGTAGGACAAGATTTGTATGCTAAAGGACCCGGTGAACTTAGTTAGACAAAATAATATAATTTACAAAATACCCTGCAATGACTGTGAGTTAAGTCAACTACATTGGTCAAACTAGTAGATCAGGGGTAATCAGACTGTCGGAACACAAGAATTTAGCTAAGGTAAGAATGGTTGACCCTGAGAAGATGAGTAATTTAGAGAAAAGCTCAACACTACATTGCACTGTGTGCATTAACAAAGCACAATCACACACAATAGGGTGGGAAGGAGGGTGTTACAATGCTAAGAAGTAAGTAGTACAGTTAGGTATGTACATGGAGAGAGAGAGAGAGATAGAGAGATTGATTAGTGAACCCTGGTTCATTGAATCTACACCCAACACAACACATGCAACAGAAATGACTCACTGCAAATACCAGAGATATGCATGGAAGATATTATTACCACCAGTCAGTCAGTTAGTCAAATCAGAGGAGGATAATAAATAATCTTAAAACTCTATTTCAGTTCAATTCACATACATCACAACATTCTAACAAGTTACTTATTTATTTTGACTATAAAAACACTCGTCTTATTTCCCGTCTGACTGTATTTGATGAATACCACTCATATTATTATTTCTGAATGTACATTATCCTATATTGATTTTTATTCAAGTGTCTAATCGTCAGTTTCACTCATGTATATAAATGAAGCGTGAAAGTTGTGTGAGTGGCTTATTAATTGATTGTGCTAGAAACGTGGTCATCACTTAATATTACTGCATAATAAACAATGTGTGATTTTATCAGAACAAAATTTTATCCATAATGGAGTTATACCCTGCCAGCACAGTGCCCAAATATTACCTTTGACTAATGTTCACCTTGTTTACAGGAATCATGGAAAGTTTACAGTGTGACAAGACGAAAAGTTTTACAGCTGAAAATGAAGGAATACGATGAACAATATAATCCTATGCCGAATTCAAGTCAACAGGTGAGTGACACCACTACTAATAATAATAACTACTAATATTTATTGACTATTATCAATATTAGTATCACTATTGTTGTTAATAATACTAGTACTGAAACTAGTACTATTGATTCTCTCAGGTTTGAGTAAAATAATTATTATTTACTATTATTATTCCCTTGGGTTCCGACTGGAAAATACGGCTTCAGCAACACATTTCCACTTCCTTTTATTTTCTGCAGTCCTCTTCAGTTGGGTCCAAGATTACCTCCTCCTCGCCACACGATCTCCTCTATGTCACCCTCCCACGAACGCCCCACTCTTCACTTCCCACTCGGATTTCACTCGAGCGATGGTCAGGCGCGCGATATCACTCGGCGGTCTCCACAATGCGTGCCCTTGTGATGGACCTTTTACTCTGTTAGCTTAGTTACCCAAATTCAAATAGAAAATAAAATACCCAATCAGTTTAGTTACGGGAAGAATATATTAAAATTTCGTTACTTGAGTTTACAAAGATCCAAAATCCACAATAAACGTAATAGGCTCCAGAGGCGTTGCGGGAAGACTGCTCCAGTACTAATTCTCCAATGTTGACGTTGCCGGAGGTCGACCAAAGTACGTAGGAAGAAACTACGGTGCTCCTGCAAAAAATTTGAGATAGAAAGCAGGTGATTAAAATTGATCGACGGCAGTTGAGACGGCAAAGAAAACGGTGAGTTGGAGTCAGAACGATATATTTATTCAAAACCCGAGGTAAAGTTCAAAGTACCGAGTTCATGGTTAAAACAAAATGATGTACAATATGTTCATTTCTTACATAGTAGTAAAAATTGGATAAGTTTATTTTTGAGGACTCCACACCCTAGCCATCTCCACTTTCTCCTACATACTTGTTGACCGATTGGCTCTTCGTTGGTTTGTTTGCAGTCAGAGTTGCTTGTTGCGAATTCTTTCTGACCACCAACTGGCTGGTCATTTGATCTTCAGTATGGAGCCAGTGAAGGTAACTGTTGATAAAAGTCTGTATTGGCCTCCTCACCTTTTTGTGACATGCAGTACATGCACCTGACCTGTATAGAAGGACCGACATCATATTTGTGTTGAAAATCCGAATCGTGGTCTTCATTGTCAGTTAATGCAGTTACGTATGCCAAGCTATCGCTTCCCTCGACGAGCTATGTTAGTGGATATAGGGTCAGGCTGGAAAAAAGCTAGCGGCGGTCAAACAAAAACTTGGCATCAGTCAATGAAATCCACAACAGTTGGTCTAAGCCACGTAGAAAGGTGTAGACTTCCAGGCTGGGGTCCTCGGGACGGTAAAAACCAATGGTTGGAAACAATTGGTGACATGGCTCAAAATCGTTCTCAGTGGCTATCGCAGATGCATCCACTCCCTGTGACTTATGATCTCCAATGAAACTGTTTTGTTCTTCGTTATTACTCCTCCTTTGTCTCACCCCTCTGCTCACTGTTTCTATTATGCTTTTCTTGTACTTTCTTCTCTTGCTTCGCGTGCTACACGGAGTGTGGCGACTTGAACTGGTGCACATTTGTGCAAAGTTCTATGTCGAAAACAGACAGACAGACAATGCAGAAGATTTCCAAACTGGTTTCAGGTTGATGGAGACGCACCTTGCCTTTCCGATTATAGTAAGCTGTAATCGAAAAAAAAAAATAAAAAATAGATGGCTTTGACAACTTCAGCGGTTCCAGCAGCCTGTATTTGAAACCATGCTTCTTGGCTGGATAAGTGAAGGAGGTAGCCTCTGTCAAATCTCTTTGCCGTTGATTGGCTGTTGGTGTTGGTTGTTGTTGTTGCTATTCTCTGGTTGGTTATCTTCATCACCTCCGTCTTCTCTACGTTCACTTGCAGTCTCGTCTTCGCTGGCTGCTTCTTCAACCAATTTGTTTGTTGTCGCCTGCAAGTCTTCGATTTCGTGTGTCACTAAAAACAAATCATCCGCCTCGAAATCCAGGCCTTCCAGAGTCTTCTTATCGATAGTCCAACGTAGTCCTGTCTCCTTGCTCCCATTGCACAGTCTCACGCACAAACCCAGTCTACCATAATTAATAATATCATCGGTGAGAATAGGCACTCAGCTTATCCTACTCCAATATTCACTTCGAATGCCTCACTGAGTTTTCCGTTGAGGTTCGCCTGACGCGTGGCCGTAGCATATAGATGTTGAATGAGGTTGATAAAGACTTAGGGCAACACCCTGAATAGTGCGGAATAAGTTTCCAAATTATTTTTTGGTTAACACTGTTGAAGGCCTTTTTAAAAGTCAATGAAGATGTGGTAGAGGTTTGACAGCCAATCCATGCTTTGTTATGTGATGACTATGCATAGAATTGGAATTTGATCAGCACATGATTCACCTTTCCTGATTACAGCTTATTCTGGTGAGTGCAGTTCTGCATCCAGTGTATCTCTTATTCTCTCCAGAGTGGCACGATTCAGTATTTTACTTGGCGTGGACGATATCATTATTCCACACCAGTTCTTCCAGAGGTATATGTCGTCCTTCTCTGGCAGTTTGACCCTTTCGTTCAATCGGTAGGAACATTTTCTTCTTTCCAAACCCTTTGCAATAATGGCGTGAGAACATCTGCTGCAGTACCTAGGACCGTTTCCAGTGCTTCTGGGGTAGTTCCATCTGACTCCACTGCCTTCGCGGGCTTCAGTGTCCTGATCGCATTCAGTAATTCTGCTTTCGTTGGAGATTTGGTGTCGACTGACAGGCAGGTCTGTGAGTGCTGTTAATGGTGGTATTTGTGGACGACTTACAGGTGATAATCGACTCAAGAGTCTTCTGAAGTGGTCAACCCGTTACTTTATTTGTTTCTCCTCCTGGTTGGTAATTAAGTTCCCTTGGCCATCTTTTATGGTTTCCACCTGTGTTGAACTCTTCCTAGATAGTGACCTGGTTATCTGATATAATATTCTGAGGTCCTCTTCACCTGCGACCTGACTGCATGTCTGCCTGTTCTGCTTCACTGTCATTGATAGTGTGTGGAAGAATTGTCTTTTGTCTTTCCTAGCACTCTTCTTCACCTCCGTCTTCATTCAGTGCACCATATAGTGAACTCAGCTTCTCCTTCTGTTGTCCATCTTTGCTTTGAGTCATCTTCTCTTTCACTATACACCTCTCCTCTCTTCAGTTACCTCCCAGGTAGGTGTCCGCTGAGTCATTCCTTGTCGTGTCTCTTTTTTCTTCCTAGAACCGTTGTACACGTTTCCTTGAACATCACTTTTAGGGAGTGAATTCCGGTGTTCTTCCGCTTTGAGATGATCTGATCTGTAATGAAGGCATCATTTTTAGTTGTGTCCTTCAGTTTCTGGATGTTGTTTTCATGGATTTCAGCTTCATCTTGAAGGTTCCATGAACTAAATGGTAGTCTGAGCCCACATCTGCTCCCCTTCTCGAGTTTGTGTCCAGTATGAGGATGACATAGTGGAGGAAGAGGTCGTGTGAAGAAAAGATGAAGGTATTTGGACAGGCATGAAGTCCGGTGAAAACGTCGGTAGAGAGCTGAATGCAATGGAGACGTGCAACTGAAACCCTGTTCCTCTAGGAATTAAAGGAAACAATAATGATGTATGTCAATATAACTGTACAGCTTTCGGGAATGAAATCGCTAAGAATATAGCTTCGCTTGTTCTTTTCAGTCTCAGCTAAATACGATCAGACATCCACTACAAAGGCTGGACTTCAAAAGTGGAAACTGGCTAAAAAGTGCGGGCAAATCATGCATATAAGTGGAAAGATGTACGGAAGGGAGAATGGCGATATGGAAATCACAAATAATGAATGCATCTAAACCAATGGAAACGATACTGAACCACTCCACCAAAAGTCTTCAACCGCTGGTTCCTAATGTCACTAGAATCATACTAGGGAAGTCTACTACTCCGTAATATGGTTTAGACGAAAATTAAAAGACTATGAATTTATGCCACGTCTCGGTGTGGCTAACCATGACTCTTTCCTTTATATATGCAACACAATAGTCAGTTTTTAGTCTTCTTATTCATCACTGTATCACTTTAAAGTTTGGCACCATAATTCTGTTTCTATAGGTAACATACCCTCTAATTCTTCGTTTTTTTTTACATTTTTAGTTCCATGCTGATTTTTACCACATGTATTTTGATTTCGGATCTGAGGAAGGCAAACGAAGAGTTGAACAAATCGATTTAAAATACTTTAAAACTGTAAAGAAATTACTGCAAGCTACTCGACTACTAGTGTTCTCATAAAATATACGTATAATGTAAAATGCAATCTTTTATTTTGCTTACATCAGTCTACCGCTTTCATCAAGTACATTCGCCGGCATAGTTAAACCTTTTCGTAAGCCTTCTTTTGTTTACAAAACAGCATATATATTGACTGTAACCTAGATAGACGTCTTTCGTCGAATAAGCTTACTGTGACACAGACTGACTGAGTGTATTCTAATTTATCCAAACGCCAGATCTCAACTTCTCAAATATAAATGGATTATTGTTAGGATGGAATCTAAGAGTAGCTCTTGAATAGGATGGATTTTGTTAGAAGGAGAGACTGACTTGTTTCTCAAGGCCATTTCGTAGGTCTAATTTAGGAAGTTATTTTTTGCAGCTTGTAAGTACATAACAGTAACATTATATGCGAAACATCATATAACATCACTATCTGAACTAACTGATGTATCTGCAATCATATCACAGAGAAAGTGTAACCATTAACAAAATAATACTGTCTATACTACAAATGATGACAATGTGTAAAGTGGTAACTGCCTGGAAATATGTAGTCCTTAAGCAAAAATAATGTGTGAGCAGTAAACAGTGTATCTATAAAAGTACTAGACACTATATATATATACTAGGAGACAACCGGTGATTTGTACCTATTTCTGCAAATTGATATTTCATCTGTGCAAAATGCAACCCTCATCGGGACACACTATCAGTCTCAAGCCTTTTTACTTTGAGTTCGTTAGCAGTTCTTACACGCTAGGTGGAATACTGCTAAGGGCATCAAGAGAAATTTTTAGTAAGTGCGATTAGTTGAGGTTTATCTTTAGTATAACCAACACTTAAAACTGTAAGAATACATTGAAAATAAATACAACTGGTGTATATGCCTCTTAGACGCGAGTAAATGATTTTCTACTTCGTGACATATCTCGCTGTTTGGAATTTATTTTGAGTTATTGATATGATAATATTTGCGTGCATTATATAGGGCTAATAATTAGATGTCTAGTGGATGGAATTTTGGATAATAGAAAGCATCTTTAAATTCTCCCCCAGGAGTCAGACGGCAGCTGATATGATACAACGTAAATTTTTCTACACCCAGAGAAGCGTACCTCGGCTCATAGGTCATCGTGGTCAGTTTGACCTATATTTTCTACTAATGCAGTTTATATGCCTACTTTTAATGCCATTCGCCAATACTGTGTCAAGCAAGCCTTTTATCTACGGTATTTCTTACCTCCTTGTAGACGTATTTGAATGGTAGCCTCTTCTTATTTTCATTTGAAGTTAACACATGACATTTATAGGCTGTAGTCACATCACGAGTTGAACCAGCTTATAACTTCCCAGTCTTTTAGAAAGGAAATTGGCTACTGTCTACGGAACCGACTTAAATTGTGGTGTTTAGCGTCCTTTCAAAGCAGGTCTATGCTCTTCCTTTTCCAGTCACCGTTGGCATTTTGTTCCATATCTTGGCATATGTGAACAAGCAAGAAGTTTGTCTTGTGAATGTTTTAAGCTACTTATTAGCTCTTAGCGTGCCTCAGGTTATTTTTTTATATTTTTGATTTACAGCTTGATTCCACACTGTATTTTGGTACAAGTATGGAATTTTCAGCATGGATATCGGTAGCCCAAATTTTGCAGGCCGACCATAGATATCAGGTATGCGCCGGCGTGGGCTCGAACCCCGAACCATGTGGATGGTCGGCGAGAGTCCTAACCACTGTGCCACCGACGCACTCATGTTGTCTAAAAGTTAATTAGAATAATGTGAACTAAAAACAGATCCGTTTTAAAGCCTGGTGAAGAGAACCAGCTTCACCCAGAAGTTTCTTCGAGGAGTGTCCTTAACTCTAAGATTTCACATGCGGCTGCACCCTAAGTAAAAACCTAAAGTTTAATTCCTCTTCTTGGTTTCACAATCTCTCAGGGATATCGAGGACATTGGTGTGCTTTAGAGTCAACCGTTTGTACCAGACGGTCTTCATCCACATGATTGATCATCTCCCCCTCCTTCTCGATGTCCCACTGCAAATTGTTCATAAATTCCAACTAGCTTACTGACATTGACATTGTAAGATACAGACGCGATAATCTATTGAAAAATTGTTTGTACCTGTCATAGTTACATTAACCATATCAGTGTTGTGTACATTCTTCTCTGTGCCAAGGGTCCTTCTTCGCGTTTTTCTTATCTTATTGCCTACTTTTCGTTTTATGGCTGACGATTTAGACTTCAGCGGTCACTCACTGAAGTAAACCCGATAACTCCTTTATAGTCTACCACTCAACCAACTTTGCTTCGATGTACTATTTGTTGTCAGACTGGTTCTGCCACCTTTTCTTGCAACAAAATAATTAAAAAAAGGAAAACTAAGCATCTCGCAAAGTCACTGTGTTAGCGGAGAAACAATCGTAAAACCGAAGCGACCTCAAGCATAAGTCTGTGGATTTAGATGCAAAAAGGCTGAAAGACAGTGTAATGGCGTATCCCGGTTAAAAAGTATTTCGTTTTCCCATGAGAGACGCTAACATCAAAATGATCTGCGAAATAAACACAAAAATATTTTCAAGTGTTGGTTTTGTAGGGATTTTGTTTGATTGTATGGAGGATTTAATCATGAGCTGACATCAGCTACAGAATTTAGAATTCAAGAACCATTGGATCGGGTCCCAGTGGCTCAATGGTCTACGAGCTCGCCTTATAACAAGAAGGTCCTGGGTTCGAACCCCGGTGGGTGCGTACTGCTGAAGAGTCCCAAACTAGGGCGAAACAGCTGTCCAGTACTCCCAGGTTTTCCAGTGGTTCTCTAACTGATGTCAGCTCATGATTAAATCCTCCATACAAAAATATTTATCATGAACTTATGTGCTAAGATATAAGAAACATTACTTAAAGGTGTATGGTGACATATGGGAAGTAGGTCGACAGAATGTAATTTACTAGGATAAAGTAGGAAAAACAAAAGCATCAGGATTTAGATAAGCTTTCCATCACTACAAGGATTCAGCCAAATTGTCCAAAACATAAGCATACATATATCGGAATGAATTCAAACGCATATTTCTAAGGGTTGGTAGGTTACTGACAGAAGGCTACAGGTAACATATACAAATCAAAATTTAGGGTGATTTCGGATCAGCTTATGGCACTGGGTAAATTTCTGAGATATGAATAAAAATATTGTCACTTTTTATGTCACCGCAAAGCATTCTCAGATGTTCCGAAATTAACCCCGAAACACTCCCTCGGTTCCATCATAGATAGGATTTTATTCTGATAAATCACAGTGTTGCGCAATGATATTAACTGATGACGTTTCGAACACTCCATCATTTGTTCACTAGAGCGTGTCACAAATGAACCAAAAGTAAAAAATTTCGCTTGTCCGAGTGAAAAAGTCTATCCCAACTAGACGAATGTTCTATGAAGACCAAAAGCAGCAGTTAATGATAAAAGAACATACCGCTTCAAAAATTACGAAAATCTTTTACAGTACGGTTAAAGCTAAAATAACGTCTCATGGATGAATACGGGAAAGCAGAATAGATCTTAGTGACAAAGACTTCAAGTCTTCTATCCTCAATCAGTAAACCCGAAATCTACACTAGTACTACAAATATCTTACTTATCTTTCTTCTACATACCTAACTACGGTGTTATGATTTTTATTATGAAACCATTTCCTACAACTATAGTACTATTCCTCACTTTAAGATCCGTCAAGTGTGCATACTCACCACTTATCTTTCTTGTCGTACACAAATCCTCTTGCTCTACCTTCCATATTTTTGGTCCACACACTTTCCATGTCCCCTCTCAATTCACCCGCTACGACTTTTCCCACATTATTTGTTGACACCCTGGCTGTACGAAATCTGTAAGCCCTGGCAACGCTACTTTCCTGGTACAAATAATTCATTTATTTTCAAAATAAATTAATGTAAATTTTCCGTATCAATGGGTCGCCTCCAGTACTGTGCGAAGATAACTTGAAAACCTGGAGAGAGCTGAAGAGCGATAGTGATACGCCCACGTTGCAGGAAGAGAGTGGTTCAGAGAATGAATTTATTATTGTTGTTTCCTTTAGTTCTTGGAGGAATATAGGGCCTCAGCCGTACGTTTCCATTTCACTCAGTTCTCTGCTAGAGTTTCCACCTGGCTCCATGTCTGCCTGCATGCTTTCACCTCCTTTTCACATCACCTCCTCCGTGTCACCCTAGCACACACGGCCAACTGGCCGCTTCCCCTTCAGGTTCCACTTGAGCTATGGCCTGAAGTGCTACGTCGCTCACTTGGTGTGTTGTTTCCTCAGAGAATGTCCAGTCCACCTCCATTTCTTTCTTGCATATTTGTCACACAATTGGTTCCTGGTTGGTTCGTCTCCAAAGAACGAATGCTGCCGGCCAGTGTAGTGATATGCTCAACCATGCGCACTGGACACTCAAACAAACAAGACTTCCTTTATTTCAGGTTCGTTGGGATTTAGGTGTTATAGTAAGTCACGAGTGCGTCGGAGGCACGGAGGGCGAATGATCGCCAGTCACGCAGGTGGTCTGGGGCTTGATCCTCGGCCGACGCACTGTCTTACCTAGCTAAGCCAGTAATAAGGCTGGCAAAGAGGGAAGGTTGGGCATGTGGCTGGCAACCAAATCGCGTATGGAAACAGAAAACACCACTGCTACCAAGACCTCAAACCTGTAACTTGTGACCATGTATTCCACTGTGAACTTGAAAGAATTAAAAAGAAGTAAGCCTTGTTTTAAAAACCACAGCACAACTGTCGCGCCGCGGCTACATGTAGTTTCCGATCCTTATGGGCAACTCACAAAGCCTTTACTAGAACCACCAAAGATATGTTTACCTCGAGCGACTTTATTGCATATCCCCTCAATGACGCTTGTTGCTATTGGTTGCAAGTGGCCTTGATTTTGGGGGAAGATATAACTGATGTAATATTGCGATTCCAGGCAATGGATAAAGGCACACACGGGGTGTCGTTATGTGT